ATACGTTCGAGCAACTTCTTCCCAGACTTCTTTAACGGTACAAAGATGAATGAAAAATCCCATGATGGTAGGATCCATGGAATTAATCAGCCACCCTTTCACAATTGCATTCTTAGTCTCCCAAGCTTCATACTCGGCACTATCCTCTTTAGGCTCCTTGATGCTCCCTGTCACGAATCCTTTCTTACCACACCCAACGATATGCATCTCCAATACTTTGGACCAAAGAAGATAATTTGATCCATTGAGTTTTACAGTATTCAGTACATATGAAGCATCACTTTGAATTACAACTGGACTCAAAATTGAGTTGTTGGCCAAGCCATGCGACCCACCCTCCAATTTGAGCCCCATTCCTTCCTAACCGCTTGCCATGAAACACACACACAATACCCTACTGACCACGGCAGGTACTTACCCTTACAGCTCTCGGTTATTGATGCAAAGAACACAGCAGAAAAACTCAAGGCTGCAGCCTTGAACGCAGCAGCAGCAGGTACGGTAGAAAAAATTATTTTAGGGTTACGATTAGGCTCTGATGCCAAATAGAATTTTACGGCTTAATTTTTCATGTATTCCATATTCTGAATATATATACATAATACAATCCTTGTTCTCCAAGGAAACAATAAGGGACATAATATCTTTCCTAAAACATGACTCTAATAATTACAAAATATTTACATTCCTTTTCTCCTAAATATTAACTTATTCCAATATATTTTTGTATGCAAATAACATGTCCCCATCTACTCCAACTTTATCTTAATTTGTTCATCAAGTCAAAGCAAGAGAACCAACTTTTAAACCAAACTTTGCTCGAAAACGAAAAAAAACCACCAATATATGAATCGTCCATAATAATCTGTTTAGTGCTTCCAGCTGCATATAGAATAATAAAATATTAACCATACTGATAAAATAAGATTGGCTGAGCAGAATACATGTAAATAATATTTTGAAATCTATATTATTTTTGTTAGAGAACGAGCAGAGAAATAGCTGCTAATTAGTACATTTTTTTTTTTTTTTTCCCACGAAGCCAATTCAAAGTCAAGAAACAGGAAACATTCCTCAATGCGAGCAGGCCCAGCATCAATGCCGGCACCTGCAAATAAAGTTGTCAGATAAGTGCCATGACACACAAGCAGCAGGCTTCTGTGTATAATATAAAAATAAAAAATTCGTACTACGCGTTTTCAAATTTAAGACCAAATATTTTCATGAGTTCATAGTAAACAATACATGCGGAGAGATCCTTCTCTCTATAAAAGCAAAGACATAGATAGGGTTTCAATCCACAGCTCAAATTTATCCTCGCTCTTACAAAGTTAAGCAAAGTTGGTCAGTCTCTCTTCGCTTACTGCCTTGCTCAAATGGCCTCTCAGTTTCTATTTTTTGCATTCCTTGCGGTAACTTCTTCCATTGCTTTGGCATCGGATCCGAGTTCTCTTCAGGATTTCTGCGTTGCAGACGCAATGAGTTCAGGTAGCTAAAATCGTTTTTTCGTATATTTTCCATTGTACATGTGTCCCAAAAATAAATAAATGCATCATAGGTATCAATTGGTAATTATGGATATGTTGCTAATGTTAATGTACTTTTTCTCATCATGGTTTCAGTACTGGTTAATGGTCGTGTTTGCAAGGACCCTAAGCTTGTTGAAGCCAACGATTTCTTTTTCAGTGGGCTTCACCTAGCAGGCAACACATCAAACGCAGTTGGTTCACGTGTGACTCCCGTTGGTGTAGCCCAAATTGGAGGACTTAATGCCCTTGGCATCTCTGCTGCGCGTATTGATTTTGCCCCATGGGGTCTTAACCCTCCACATACACACCCTAGAGCTAGTGAAATTTTGACAGTCCTGGAAGGGAGCCTCAAAGTTGGTTTTGTCACCTCCAACCCTGAAAACCGCCTCATCACCAAGGTACTTCAGAAGGGTGATGTTTTTGTGTTCCCAGTAGGTCTTGTGCATTTCCAGCAGAATGTTGGAAATTGTAATGCAGTTGCCCTTGTAGCTCTCAGCAGCCAAAATCCAGGTGTCATTACCATTGCAAATGCAGTATTTGGATCAAATCCTGATATCCCTGCTGATATTCTTGCAAAGGCTTTCCAAGTGGATACGAACGCGATCTACAGTCTTCAGTCCAAGTTTTAGAATAGATTCCAATTTGGAACCTCTGATTAAATCAAACGGGATTCATAGCTCATTTGAAGTGTGGCTTTAGAAAAATGTCACAATTTGTTTTTCATGGCAGTCATGTTGGTCTAATGGTTTGTTTGATTCAAAAGATTTAAATTGAAATGTGATCAAGTTGTTATTTTGTTTCATAATTGTATTGTAAAATTGGAAGTTCCATATGTTGAAATTAATTTCAGGTAAAACATGAGTGCTTTAAATTTGGAAACTTTTTCTATCCGCGTCCTTTCTATATTTCATCATCACCAGTGATTTACAACATAAAAACTTTCCAGTTAAGAATCAGCCTATTTACATGCATCTCGCCGCAAGCCAGTGCATATATGTTTGGTTAAAATGCTGTCAGCAGAAATTTATGTTGCAGAACACAAAATCCCACATCGGAATATTGAAAAAACTAATATAATAAATAGTTCCACTCCTAATGATACACAGGCCTTTTAAGTATAGACATGATCTGGTTCTTTGTGTATAATTTTCAGAGAGTGCAGAAAGGCTTTCCAATATTTAGATTTTCTTCGAACAAATAGAAACCTCCAATCTATGTTTTCAATATACTAATCAAGTAACAAGACCTTAATGAACTATTAATCGTTCTTTTAAATTTGCTTTGCTTGTCTATATGATATATATGAAAAGAGTAATGATGGGTATGTAGATCAAATTTATAAACCAAATAATGTGTCATCAATAAAAAATAGGCACGTTAATTAACATTTAAGTAATAATCCAATCATTAACTTCCATGTTATTTGGTTTACAAAATTTAGTCTTCCTAACATTATCCATATCAAAATTGCATGCATAGTCCAATTAACAACCATTACATGTTTGTGGAACAATTAATAACTAATAAATATAAAACATGAATTACATAAATCTATGCATTATAAGAGGGAGAGAGGGAGGGGGGGGGGGGGGGTGGGGGTGGTTCATATTCAGGAGATAACCATTTCAAGTTTTGGATGCCGGCACCTAAAAAAAAAGTGAGGTAAGCAATGACAAGTTTTAGTGATCACAAATTGTCACACACGTTACAAAAACAAATTGCTAGACATGTACTGACCAATTTGAACTGCCAATTCTGGAAGAATAAACTTCATAAATAGTTTAGATTCACAATCTGGCATGAGAACATTTATGTAAATAAATAAATAACTGGTACTTGTCAGTTATCAACTTAATATTAATAATTAATATATTGTACATGCTTCTAATGTAATGTTCTCATTATGATTTCAGTACTAGTAATGGTCTTGTTTGCAAAGACCCACGCTTGTTGAAGCAAATGACTTCTTCAGTGGACTTCATCTAGCAGGCAACACATCAAACTCAGTTGGCGCACGCGTAACCCCAGTTAAACGTAGCCCAAATCGCATGACTTCACACTCTTGTCATCTCGATTGCTTGTATTGATTATGCACCATGCGGCATTAATCCTCAACATACACATCCTAGAGCAAGTGAAGTCTTGATAGTCCTTGAAGTGAGCCTCCAAGTTGGTTTGTCACTTCAAATCCCGTGAGCCGTCTCATCACTAAGGTTCGTCATGCCGGCGAGGTGTTTGTTTCCAGCGCAGTGTTGGAAATGGTAATGCAGCTCTCAGCAGCAAAAATCCAGGTGTTAGTACCATTGTAAATTTGGTGTTTGGATCAAATCCTGACATCCCTGGTTATGTTCTTGCAAAGGCGCTCTTCCGTTATCTTGAATCAACTATAACGTTATGAGGTATGACCAGATAAATTATTTGGTTTAATTTGTTTGACCTGTTACATGATAATTTATTCCTGCCCAATTAGCATTGTACTCCAAGTTGTCTGTTGTTTTGTTTGATTATCTTCCTTGCATTGTGTGGCGTGGTCCAGTTTTTAACATTTTACTGCTTTTTTAGGCCTTTCCTCTATTGTGTTCTGATTTTTTCAGCCTTTCACCCTCTTCCATTGTTCAGTTCAATACTTAACATCAAGTCCCCAATAACACTATGCTGCCTCGATCCATCAAGATTCAACTATGCATTGCTTCGATTTGTCATTCTTCAAAAAAAAAAAAACAATAATAATCTAAACTACCTATTAACAAAATTTTCTTTGTTAATCAAAAGAAGGTAAAAAGATAATTTGGTCTTATATCACAACATAAAATCATGGGTAATAATGTAATTCCATATAAACCAAATTTTGCTATTTTTTTCTTTCCTCACCAACATATCATTATAACATATCTCTAATTATAGTCACTTAGTACTATAGTCTAATGATATTTATTTTCATTTATAAATAAGAGGTCTTAAAACAAAAATACAGCTCCACACACAAAATGTGTCGGCTTAGGCTAGTAATAATAATAAGAACAACAACAACATAAGCCATCCTAAAAATCAAACTAAATGACCTATGGTCACATCGAACCACATGACTGAAGCATGAAACCGATATAGCCAAAAACTTTACCACGTGAGGAAATATGTAGAATTCTCACACAATAAATAAAAACAACACATTAGTACTGTCTATGTGGACTGATTAGACCATTGCTAGTTGGTTCATCAAGGTGGGCCAAAGCAAAACCAAAATGTGATTTCTAAGTGCGCATGGGGAAAAAGCTATAACTCTGTCTCTTATATATAAACACACTTTGGTCAATGGTAGGCCAAAGATATAGGGCCGACCCCTCAGCTCTCAATATATGCATGTCTGCATGCTAGAACTGCGTAGCACGCGCCTAGTCAATAACCATTAACAAAAAGAGAAAGAAAAAGAAGGGACAAAGACTACTTATAAATATAGTTGTGCTCTTGTTCAAAGAAAATCAGCAAACTACGTTTCCCACAACTTTAAATCTGCTTCTTGTTCTTCTCCTAGCTAGAGCAGCATATACATTGAAATTACCAAATGGCCACTGATATTTCCTTCTTTGGATTTGTATTATCTTTATATTTGTCAGTCGCCATTGCATCGGATCATAGTCCACTTCAAGATTTCTGTGTTGCGGACCCGAAAAGTCAAGGTACTAGCTATATTTTTTGTCTGTTTTTGCTTCTTTTCTTGTGTATATATACTTAACCAAAAGACTGAAATTGGTTGGAATTATGTTTTATTTATGATGTAATTAGGATCCCAACCCTCTCCCTAGGATTTGCTTGAAATCTGGACCAAAGAAAATTTATTTAACAAATTAACTTGCGAAGTTAAATGTGGCAGTGGTGGTCAATGGTCTAGCTTGCAAGGACCCTAAGACAGTTGAAGACAATGATTTTTCATTTGGTGGACTTCATTTAGAAGGCAACACATCTAACCCAATTGGGTCAAGTGTGACACCAGTAACCGTGTTTCAACTACCAGGTCTCAACACTCTTGGCATTTCACTTGTCCGAATCGACTATGCACCATCAGGTGTCAACCCTCCACACACTCATCCTCGCGCCTCCGAAGTTTTAACACTCTTGGAAGGCAGCCTTGAAGTCGGGTTTGTGACATCCAGCCCCGAGAACCGTCACATCACTAAGGTGTTGCAGAAGGGTGATGTGTTTGTTTTTCCAATTGGACTTGTGCACTATCAGAGAAATGTAGGTTCTGGTAATGCTGTGGCTATTGCAGCTCTCAGCAGCCAAAATCCTGGTGTGGTGATAATTGCCAGTTCTGTTTTTGGGTCCACGCCTAGTATTGGCAATGACATTCTTGTGAAGGCATTCCATGTTGATAAAGGTATTGTCAACTACCTCCATTCGATATTCTAAATATGTAACTCGTTGAAAAAGAAAGAAACTCTAAATATATGTGACAGTAGATTATCCCCCCACTATCCAATTATGTTGCATTGTGACCATTAGGAGAGAAATATGTAATTAAGATCTCTTAATTATAAGAAACCCATTCCAACATCCAAGATGGTGGCTTTACCTTGGTGAATTAATCATTAGGTGCATTTACCTTGTATAATACTTTTTTTTTACAATACGATATTCTACTATAAACTACTTTAATTTAAAAGGAGGGAGAATTCGAATTGGGTTGTAAGGAAATAGGCATATTACCTTGACCAACTGGTCTAACTCATAGCTCACATATGCCTTGTATGTTTATGGTACAACGCCTTGAAATTCCTTTATGTTACAAGGTTTGAAATTATTGGACTAAATTAAGAGCTTCTAGGAAAGCCCATGCTAAATGGAATTTCATTTAATTGAGATCTTCTAGGTCTTCAAAATAGTAAGGACCTTTTCTTTTTTTTTCTTTAAATTACTAATTAAGATGGTTTTTTGTTTTTTTCTTTTAAGAAAACCTCGATGGTATGAGGAAAATTTTATTGATATCGAAGAAAGAGTACACCTATAATCCAGAGGGGGAGGGGGGACATAAACCAAACTCCTTATAATACAATGAAAAAGGATATAAAAAAAAATACACAAAAAGAAGGGGTGACATAAACCTTGCCCATCTAGAAACAAAAACAACAAAGATACATGGAAAAGTGGGGGACATGAAACCTAACCCCTATAAAGTCGAACCTAAAGGTCTAAACCTGTAAACAGAACAAACAATATCACAAGGTTAAGAAAAAAACCAAGAAAGTAAGACAAACCTATATGACGAGATGCAAATTAATTTGAGAAGCAGAAGTCAAGAAAGCCTACATAGTCTGAAAACCAAGCAGCACAAACCGTCGTCAGAGGGGAATCAAGCCATACCAAAATTGGAGAAGATAAGCCCATGTTAGGAATATTGTCCGCAACCACATTTCCTTCGTGATAAGAGGCGTAGAAAGCCATCTCCCAAATGCGATCCAAACAAATAGACCACTGCGTACAAAGAGGTTAAGGAGTACCAAAATTAGTAAATTAGATAGCAAAAATAACACTAGAAAAGTCACTTTTCAGCCAAAGACAATGCCAACCCCACTGATATGCAAACTTTACACCAATAATAACTACTAGTAATTCTGCAAAAAAAGAGTTGCGATGACCAATCCCTTGGCAGAAACCACCAAGAAACTGATCATGACAATCCCCGAAAACTCCTTCACAAGCAGTAGGTTTAGGATTTCCTAGACAAACCATTTGTATTAAGTTTAATCCAAGGGAACCAAGGAGAATACCAAAGAACATGAAGAATAGTCGGTGTCTTTCGAGGGATAGGTTGAATCCTAGAGAAGAAATGATACGAGTGTCAAAACCCTGAGAGTAACCAAGAATAAACTTCGCACTAGGAATGATCCCATAATTGATAGACATGTAGAGATGATGAAAATAGATTGGGCGATCCTAAAAAATAAACTTATTTCAAGCTTTCCAATAGCCAAAATAGTATAAAGACCCACAAAAATTCAAAGATTGTGCCACTGTTGGGAAAAAGGCTTACGTATGTAGGCATCCCAAAAAACAGCCAATGAATATGAAAATGACAAAGAGGTACCAAATTGACAAGCTAACTACCTCTAAAGCTACCTAGATATCTAGCACTCGAAGAAAAGATGAAAAGTAGATTCCTCAGAACTATGAAATAAACAACAAATGGATGCAAGAAAAATACCACGTCGTTGTAATGCACCTTCAGTAGGAAGTTTGTCATGAAAAATCTACCAAGCCAAAATAGATAGTTGAGGTGAAATAAAATGCCGACAAATAACCTTAGCACAAGCACAATTGCGATGCTTTGTCTGAATAAGATGATAACCAGAAGAAAAGGAAAATTTCCTAGAAGACAAAGGCTCCCAAATCAGTTTGTCATCCTCTACATTTAAAGGCAAAGGTAAACGAAGAATCAATTAGACCACATAAGAGAATAAATCTACAAAATAATCTAGTAAAGACTACCTTTGAGCTTCAATAGCATTTGAAACCCAAGAACTGTACGTGAAATGACCAAAGATAATGAAGAGCTAATAATCAAGCCATCCAACCATTTGTCGAACCAAAAAGAGACTGACTTCCAATCACTAGTAATCCTATGACTATTATTATTCAGATTAGGCAAAACATGCTTTCAACCATGCCACACAGAAGACTGTAAATAGATATCTTGTTTTTTGTAAGGCGCAAGAGAAAAAGGCTGACGAGTGAAAGAACTCCACAAAGAAGAAGATTGTAAAGCATCCTAACCAAAACTAAGCAAAGCCGCCAAGATCAAAGCAGCCAAATCACAACGACCAAATTAACCCACCTTCATGGTTAGGTCCACACACACCATACTCCAATCAACAATTACTAACTTTCGGGAAGTCAAGTTCCCTAAATAAATAAAATTTTGTGCACAAGTAGAAAGATGCTTTAAAAGGCAAGCTGACCATTGATAAATTGAGAAGTTGTGAAGAAACAAGCTTTGATAAATCACGGATTCAAAGTCATTGCTAAGTTATCACATAAATTAATTTGTGATAGTTGTTTCTTTTTGTCGAATACTTCAGCTCTGAAACTTGAGTGCAAAGAGATAGTCGCAATGCTCTTGACTAATTATTTGGTAGTAATCCACGTCTACTTGGTACTTATTTTCTGAAACCTAGCAAGCTTCGTTGTTTGTTCCGAGGAGGAAGATCGATTAAATCAAATCCTCGATGATGGTATAAACAATGATGGACATATTGAGACAGTTTGCAGATAGATGTCTAAGGTTCAAAGGGAAGGAAAGGCCTACAATGAAAGAAGTAGCCAAGGAGCTAGAGGGGATGAAAGTTACGGCTAAGCATCCATGGGGTAAAGCTGATTTCTGTTCAGAAGAGACTGGGTCCTTACGTGGGTCACCTAATTCAGACACTCATTTTGTCGATGTTATTGCTGATTCGGTCCAACTATGGGTACTACACGCGGCTATGGCAGCATGCAAATCATCTTGACGTCACCTGATGCAGAGATTTTTCAATGTGTGTCATAATATAGGTGATTTAATACTTGAAAAAAAAAATTAACTACTTGTTTTATGACTTGGTGTATCGGGCCGTGTTTCCGACTGAAAAATATCTCCATCCGATGATGCAAGATAATTAATCAATTGACCTGTAGGATTGTAGCTGGGCAGCAGTTATTAATTTGTTTTCAGTTTGATCAATCAGCAGCTATTTTGATAGGGATAAGTTGTCTGTCACAAAATATTTTTAACATCAGGATTGAGTCAACCGATATTTTGTGCTTTTAAAGAGAGGCCAATGGATTGAGTTTGAGAGGAAATTTGTTTTTATTTACCTTGATTGAAAAAGACAATTGTTTCAATTAACCTTTGTGAAAATGACTATCAACCCACTGTGAAATATAAAATTATTTTTGAATTTACTAATTTGGTGAATAGAGAATTGTAATATAGTTTCATAAAACACGGACTTGTTAATACGACTGGACTCGATCTTTCCCAGTCCTATTGACAAATCACAAGGTATGAATTGAAAGGAGGACAATTGAATCTACTTTCATTCTTCTTCGCTTATCCCCAAAGTTATCGGCAATAAAATAATATAAAATAAAAAGACTACTGTTAGTTCAAGTCATTTTCTCACAATTGGTGCTTGAGTTTGCGCAGACGCCATTGCTTACAGGACTATTACCAAGTCGGATCATTGACTGGAACAGAAGCAATTTAACACATAAATCAGTTTTACTAATTCCTACCGTGTAAAATGCCACTTCTTTCACCAATAAGAAAATACAATAGAGGATTAGGCAAGGGATTCGTACCATTGCGCAGCCATACTACCGAAGCAGCTAGCATACCTTCCGGCGCTTAATTCCATGGCCATAAACGGGAGGACCCTGCTTATTCAACTCTCTTTGGCCGTAATATTAGCTGCTACAATTACAAAATTAGCAGCAGCTGATGGACCCCTGACTCAAGCCCTGCCTGGCTGCAAAGACAAGTGTGGTGATCTCACTATTCCATATCCATTTGGCATAGGTGACGGTTGTTACCTCCGACCGGAATTCAACATCACTTGTGACCACTCCGCCACACCCCCAGCGGCAAACTTAACTGGTCAGACATTCCGTATTACCAAATTTTCCCTTGATGAGGGTGAGTTGCAAGTAATGATGTTCATATCCCGAGATTGCTATGCCACGGTTGACTCCCACGCTCGCAGAACCTACCGGAACAACCCAGCACTCTGGTTGCCTCCTCCTTATACCATATCTGATACCAAGAACAGATTCATCGCAGTTGGTTGTGACACTTACGCCCTTTTCCAAGGTTATAGAGGCGAAGAAAGGTTCATCACTGGGTGCATGTCATTATGCAACAGCCTTGGAAGCGTCAGTGACTCTAATTGCGCAGGCGTTGGATGTTGCCAAACTTCCATCCCCAGCGGACTGAAAAATTGTACGGTTCAATTGAACAGCTATTACAATCATAGCTTTATAATGGACTTCAATCCCTGCAGCTATGCTTTCACTGTCGAACAAGGCCAGTTCGAATTCAGCAGCACAAGTTTTGATCAACTCACCAACACAAACCTACTTCCAATGGTTATTAATTGGGAAATTGAAGATAAGACTTGTTATTCTGCTTGCAAGGCAAATAATAGCATGTGTGTCAACCGGACCGTTAATATCAGTGGTTCTGGTTACATTTGTCAGTGCTTGGGAGGTTACCAAGGGAATCCATACCTCCCCCATGGTTGCCAAGGTAACTTTATCTAATATTAATTCATATATTAACATGTTTGTTGATTTTCCTAGAAAATATTTAAATTGGGGTTTTAGTATCACCTTCATGGATTTTCGTTTCTTTTAATTCAGATATTGATGAGTGCAAGTCCTCAAACCCGTGCAGTATCGGAACGTGCGTAAATGTACCAGGAAACTTTTCCTGTAAATGTCCCGAAGGGTACAAAAATGATGGCGCGGATAGAAAGAATTGCATCAAAGACAACCCGAACAATCTCCTGCTTCTGATTTCATTGGGTATGTTTCACTAATTTACATGCTAACAGCCTAACATGAATAATAATCATTTCATCTATATATACATATAGTCATATATCTGGTTTCAATTTCAATATTACTTTGTCAGCAACTGTCCATCTGCTCCCAGCAAATTATAAAAGCAAACTTAGTTGTGATTTTTCAATTATGTGCAGGTGTCACTGGTGGGTTCTTGATTTTACTTGCTGGAATTTCATGGACGTATTGGGCATTGCAGAGAAAAAAGATCATCAAACTCAAGGAAAAATACTTCAAGGAAAATGGCGGCTTGTTGTTGCAACAACAACTGGCTAGTCAAGAAGGCTCCGTGGAGGCAATAAAAATCTTTACTGGAGAAGAACTTAAGAGGGCCACAAACAATTACCATGACAGTAGAATCGTTGGCGAAGGAGGCTATGGAATAGTTTACAAAGGAGTATTGCCAGATAGCAATAAAGTAGTTGCCATAAAGAAGTCCAAAATTGGTGTGCCAACCCAAAAGGAGCAGTTTGTTAATGAGTTGATTGTTCTATCTCAAATCAACCATAGAAATGTGGTGAGACTATTAGGTTGCTGCTTAGAGACATCAGTGCCATTACTAGTTTACGAGTTCATTACAAATGGCCCTCTTTTTGAGCACATCCATCATAAAAATGGCAGAGGATCATCATTTTCATGGGAATTACGATTGAAGATAGCAGCAGAAACCGCAGGAGCACTAGCATACTTACACTCCTCCGCTCTCATGCAAATCATACACCGAGATGTGAAAGCAACAAATATACTATTAGAAGACAATTACACAGCAAAAGTGTCAGACTTTGGAGCTTCGCGATTGATTCCTTTGGATCAAAATCAGCTAACAACATTAGTACAAGGGACATATGGATACTTAGACCCTGAATACTTCTTAACGAATCAACTAACCGAAAAGAGTGATGTGTATAGCTTTGGGGTTGTCCTTATGGAGCTACTAACCAGCAAAGTAGCACTTTCTTTTGCCAGGCCTGAGGAAGAGAGAAACCTAGCAAGCTTGTTTGTTTGTGCAGTGGAGGAGGATCGCTTGAATCAACTTCTTGATCAAGACATAGTCAACGATGGAAACATTCAGACAGTGAAACATGTGGCCAATCTAGCAAAAGGATGTGTGAGGTTAAAAGGAGGGGACAGGCCTACGATGAAAGAAGTAGCGATGGAGTTAGAAGGAATGAGAACTACATCAAAGCATTCATGGGGGAAAGCTGATTTCACTCCAGAAGAGACTCAGTACTATCTTGGTTCACCTAGTTCAGACATTTACAGTACTGTTGCAGTTAGAGGTGACTTTAGTGGTACGAAGAGTAGCATGGAAATCCAAATGTTAATGCCATATGATGATGGCAGATAATTCAGGTAATGTATCCAAAAAATAAAAACTAAAATTGACAAAATTTAGTAATGGGATTTTGTCAAGATCGTGTTCATAGAATATGATTGGGTTGGTACTTAGTGTAGTATAGGAGCATATTTACCTTAGGTGTTGGGTATGGTTTCTTTCAAGTATATTAGTATATAGGAGCATATTTCTACCCTTAGGTGTTGGGTATTGGGTTTCTTTCAAGTATATTAGTATATAGGAGCATGTTTCTGCTTTCTAATCAACTTTTTATCGTGGATTTTCGATTATATATAATTTTGAAAAGCATCGCTATAAAAAGTATGGACACTTTAAAATTATTAATGCCTTATGAGGTTTAAGAACATCAATATATGTGTTTTATAACAAAACAACAGTGTACCAACTAAAATATTATTTGTGCTTTCTATGGGTGTGCCATTTGATTATAGGGCACAATATGTCGTTTGTGCTCAAAGAGGTAAGCACAAATAAGGGTGTTTTTTGTGCCCTTGTTTTAAAGACTCTGTTAGATGACTTTCAAATTCATGTTAGCACAATTTTTTTAATTGTGCCCTATGAGTTAAATATTAAAAAAAAAGAAGAAGTAATGCTAGGGAGATAAAATCTATAGAAAAAAATTGCAAACTAAATGATTTTTTACCAATAAGAATGAATCTTTCTTATAGTATGCATATCCATATATAGCAATCAAAGTTTAACTTCGTTGGTTCTTAGGCACTAAACCGTCTTTTTAGTTACTTTATGTTGAAATTGTTCATGTCTATTGTGGATAATGGTTTCAGAACCCGCAGCAAAACGCGGACAAATTTTCTAGTTCTAATCTTATATATATATAGAGCGCCTACGGCAAATTTCTAGTCTAATCTTATATATATATATAAGAGCGCCTACGGGCAAATTTTCTAGTTCTAATCTTATATATATATATATATATATATATATATATATATAAGAGCGCCTAATCACAGCTAATTATATTAACTTAATACGGTGCTAACCGTGTATTTGGTCTCATTTCACAATATTTTCCCATGATCCCAATCATTCAGTTTTTAGATTCTCATTCATAGATCATTTTTGAAAACTTCGTCCAAATCCAAATGCATTTCAATATCTAATTGTGACAATCTAAAAATAGATAGATATAATGTTGCTGAAAACACAATGAAATATTCACGACAAGTCGAAAACAATTCACTAGTTAAATTACTTCCTATTTAGACGAATTTAGATGAAACGACCAAGGCTAAGCATGCTTTTACGTACTAATTTGGTAAGATCTGACGTTCGGATGATGCAACTTTACTGTTCCTTGCAAATTTTTATATTGTTTGGTAAATTTCCCAATATTAATTTAGTGGGACAACGTTTTCCCATTGCTCATGTTAATCATGGGTTTTTCGTTAACTTATTTTAAATAGTGTTAGTCTGTATTTTAAGATTAAAAATCCAGAGGGAAATGCTAGATCGTAGAAGAAAGAACTTATCAACCTTTTATTGGTTTCTAGAGAACGAGAAATTAATATCTACAATTTCATTTTTCTAGAGACCATTAAAACGTTCATAAATCCTTTCTCCACCATCTTCATTTCCTTCTTGTTTTTACTCTAAAAAGACAGGCTATGCAGCCCTCACAAAAGACTTTCAACAACTCGTTTCCAAATGAAAAAAAAAAAAATTCAACTACAAATTCACTTCAATGTGTAAACACATAAATTCACATCTTTCTTTTCATTTGTTCCCCAAGTTGATTAATTAAGTTTCTATCGGCAATCATTCTTATCTCGACTTAATATTAAAAAAGTGTAAAAATATTTTTCAAAATCTTTGCCCTCGAATCCTTTAAATAAACTTTACTCGACTTTGCACCCTCCCGTCGCTTATTGACTAACACTAAGTCAAATGTTTTCTTGGGCTCTTCTGGAAATGGATTAATGGGACGAAGCCTAATAGTAGACTAAAACAGTAATAGAGAAATCAGGTAATTAAGGGTGGTGCTATCTACTTATCTATTTTTCGTCATTCTGATCGAATGAATTGAAGAAGATTAATGGACAAAAATTAACAATAGTGTGTGAGAAGTAATAAGGTGTGTGAATAGAACTCTCCTTAATTAAGATTAGGAACACATTTCCCCTAACCCAAAACTTGCCACCACCCGTTTTAATCCTTCCATATATATTCCTACAGAAGGCCAGCCTTCTTAATTCGCAGTTCCTTAATTTCTTGGACTCGTCGCCTGCTTGGAATTCCTCTGCTAGGATCTGCTCAACTCTTTTTAGTTATTAATATATGGCGTTACATTGGAGGATGCATATTTTACAACTCTCTTTAGTAATGGTGATAGTAGTTGTAGTTTTACTTGGATCTCCAACAACAGCTCAATCCCTCCTTCCGCCTCAAGCACTGCCTGGCTGCCCTGACCATTGTGGTAATCTCACAATTCCATACCCATTTGGAATAGGCTTTGGTTGCTACCTCCAACCCCGGTTTAACATCACCTGTGTCAATTCCACTCAACAGCCAAAAACACGTTTGTTGACGAGCAATATCGAAATTACCAACATATATCCCGATGACGGTGAGCTCCAAATACTACAATTCGCAGCCAAAGATTGTTACGATGCTCAAGGAAACTCAACCAGCCGGAACAGATCCAGGCTCAGTGTGCCTCCTCCTTACACCATCTCCGAAACTAAAAACAGGTTCGTCGTAGTTGGATGCGACACATATGCGTTTTTTATTGGTCACCGGGGTGAACAAAAGTACACAACTGGGTGCATGTCCATATGCGACAATCTTGACAACGCTATCGATCAGCTAGACACTTGCTCTGGCGTTGGATGTTGCCAAACTAAAATCCCTAGTGGGCTGAAAAACCAGACTCTGAATTTGAGAAGCTTTAACAATCATACGGATGTGTAGGACTTCAACCCATGCAGCTACGCCTTCCTTGTAGCAAGAAGGCGAGTTCAACTTCAACAGTACAAGTTTTCAAGAACTAAACGACACAACCCGGCTTCCGGCGATTCTTGATTGGGAAATTGGGGATGAGTCATGTGATATAGCAGCTAATAACGAGAGCACTTTTGCATGCAAGGCAAATAGCTCCTGCCATGATCGGTCTTCAGGTTACATTTTTGGCTGTCGTATCAAATGATTGAAAAAGATCAATGGACGAAAGTTAACAAGGGTACGTGAGAAGTAGAAATAGGTTTGTGAATAGCAATACTCTTTTTTATACAAGAAATATTAGGGGAGAGAGATCAAATTGGGCATTAATAAAGAATAATGGTAAATACTCTTAATCAATTGAGCTACAAATCTCTTATTTTTCTTTAGGCATGCTTGTTTATTTACCTATGTCACATCATATGACCGTAGCCTAAAATCATAAACCTACTATTTTCATTTGAACAATTGCACTCAAATTTTATTTGCTCGATCGACCCACTTTTAGATTCAAAATTCTGACACATGCTTATATTGGAATTCCTCTCTGCAACACGAATTTTTTAATTGATATTGTCAATAATGTATAGATCAATATGTACATTTTCTTACTGACATGATATCAAAATTGATTTCATGCCTTGTCATTTACCATATGGACGGTTTGTCTTGCCTAGAGGATGACTAATATCTATGACTTAGAAAAGATTCATGTACAAAATGAATAAATAGTCTTCATTGTAGCTAGTATTATACGTAAGTATGTCATTTTTTTGTCCCAATGTATCTATCACCTTACTGTCGTAAACCAGAAAGAAAAAAAAAAAAAAAAAGACACTAGCCAGACAACAAAAGCAAGATTAATACATTGATGATACGCTCTATATAATTTGTTTTTTAGCAATATATATATCTTTAACATCCTAATATTACATAGACATGCATAAAAAAACTATAAAATAAGATTTTCTTGTTATTTTGCAATCATCTTTTTGCAGGTGCCACTGGAGGCTTCTTGCTTTTACTAGGTGGATTTTCATGGATATATTGGGGGAAGCAGAGAAGAAAGTTCATCAAACTCAAAGGAAAATACTTCAAAGAAAATGGTGGCTTATTGTTATAGCAACAAATCGCTAGTCAAGGAGCCTCCGTCGAGACAACAAAAATTCTCACGGCAGAAGAACTTGAGAAGGCAACAAACAATTACCATGAGAAACTTAGAATCCTTGGCGAAGGAGGCTATGGAATAGTTTACAAAGGAATATTAGCAGCAGATAACAATAAAGTGGTTGCCATAAAAAAGTCTAAAATTGGTGTCCCAACCCAGAAGGAGCAGTTTGTTAACGAGTTGATTGTTCTTTCTCAAATCAACCATAGAAATGTGGTGAGGTTATTGGGTTGTTGTTTAGAGTCAGAAGTTCCTCTACTAGTTTGTCATTCACGGCACTCTCTTTGAGCACATTCATGGTAAAAAGAGCAAGGGATCATCATTTTCATGGGAATTACGACTGAAGATAGCAGCTGAAACTGCTGGAGTACTAGCATACTTACACTCCTCCGCTCTCATGCAAATTATACATCGAGATGTGAAAGCGACAAATATACTATTAGATGAAAATTACACTGCAAAAGTGTCAGACTTTGGAGCTTCATGATTGATTCCTGTAGAACAAGCTCAACTTGCAACTTTAGTGCAAGGAACATTCAGATACTTAGACCCTGAATACTTATCACTAATCAACTAACAGAAAAGAGTGACTGTTAGAACTAAAAATTAAGATTAGCTCTATACAAGGATTACATGCTATTTAGAACAAGATCAATATGTATGTGTGTCGTGTTAACCGCATACCATTGCGTCATTGTATATATACATATATATATATGTACAAGGTTAATGCTATACAATCAGGTAAAGATTTTGAGGATACCTGAAGACGACATTGAGTTGGATGAACGAGAGAACCCTAGTCTGCAAGTAATCGTCCAAGGAAAGTCTTCTACTCACTTAAAGCCCTTATATTCTTATGGTGATAGAACCCTTTTCTTAGAACCTTTTTTTTTATGTGAGCAGGAATTTCCTACATTTATTGTGGCAATGGCAGCCAACTTCCATCTATGGTGGAAGTATGGTTATTGTCCCATTGCACCACATCCCAATTTAAATGGAGTAGTGGATTAGTGGTAAAATACCTTAAGTGGTTATTTCAAAGCATTATGAATGTGCTTCTACAAAAATAGGACGTTAACTTTTCCACGTATTCAAATTCTATAGAATTATATTATCAACATGTAACCTCTCATTTATCACAACTATTGTTAAGTCCAAATAGGATTCTTACACTGACGTCTATAGCTTTGGAGTTGTCCTGATGGAGCTACGTACTAACAAGCAAAGTGGCATTCACTTTTGACAGGCCTGAGGAAGAGAGAAAACTAGCAAGCTTCTTTGTTTGTTTAATGGAGGAGGATCGCTTGAATCAAATTCTCGATGATGACATAGTCAACGAGAGAAACATCGAGACACTAAAAACAGTGGCCAATCTCGCGAGAAGATGTGTAAGGTTAAAAGGGGAGGACAGGCCTACGATGAAAGAAGTTGCCATGGAGTTGGAAGGAATGAGAATTACAGAAATGCATGCATGGGGAAAAGCTGAATTTATTCCAGAGGAGACTGAGTACTTACTTGGGGCAGCTAACTCAGATGCGTATCCTGTGGATGTTAGGGCTGATTGTGGTCCTAGTTCTGGTACAGCTAGTGAGTATGACAACATGCAGATCCAGATGTTAATTCCATATGATGATGGACGATAATTCATTGCTTGAAATAATCAACTCAACATTGGTTATCATTCTAGCCATAGTGAAGAACCTACAAACATCATGTAGATGTCATTCTCAGTTGGTGTAGTCACATTGGCTAGAACGGATGTGCTCTTTCTGTGCACTCGAGTTTGAATTTTCCTATATATAGTTTAAATTTAGTAGAAAGTAAATATGGCCTGCATAAAAGAAAACATTCTTCTTCATTCATTTTGAAAGTTTTTAGTTAGGGTGTGTAATACTAGGTGGTAGAGATCCTAACCAAAAAAAAAAAAAAAAAAAAAACTTAAAAAAAGGGATCTCAAACAAGCCTTGCACGTGGCCCAACACCAAAAACTAATTTCTTCTTCAAAAGGATTTGCACTTTCTTTTTATCTCATTCTTGCTTCTTTTCTCCTCTTTTCTCTCTCCTTTTTCTCTTTTCACCCGTGCCCACCTTTCTCTCCTCTATCCTCTTTACCCGATTCTCATTTTTTTTTTTTTTTTTTTTGTTTGTCAAACGAAATATTTATTGGATTAAATATTAGATTAAAGAGTTGATAGTGTTTGAACCCACCTCGTGGTGGAAAAGCACCATTGTTTTTAAAAATTAATTATTTTTTAAGAAACAATATTTCTTACTAATAAAATTTCATTAAACATTAAAAATTTGTTGATAATAATTTTGTTCATTTTTGGTACACGATTAATAATTCATATTACTATATCTTAAAATGTGACTAATTTTTAATTTTTATACATTACCAAAAAAACAAAAGGGAGGGGAGGAAGGAGTGACATGAGATAGAGAAAGAGGAGAGAGAAAAGAGAGAAAGAAACGTTGAGAGAAGAGAGAGATATGATGGTGATGTTGGTGAAATAATAGGCAAGTACAAATTGTGCAATAACGGTTTGATGCAAAAAAAAAAATTCTTCAAACATCTTTTTAAGCGTTCTTTTACTATGAAATGAAGTTTCAAGACATTTGTAAAGAGTTTTTTTATCCAAAAATTTTACAATGCTCGGATATAACAATGGAGAGTTGGATGTGCACCCAAGAATCCAACGGTAAATAATCCAACGGCGAAGATTCCAACTAGAAATTGAAACTCCTTTTTTCCCATCTGTTTGGTTTCTTCATTTTTAACTCTTATATAAATGAAACATACTTATTATTTACCTCGACTTTGTCATAATTATTTGTCATCATTCTTTTGGTTTATAATCAAGGGACTATATGATCCTTCTCTGTCATCACCTTGCTTGGAATGTGAACCTGCAGACAAGAATTAGAGCCGGCTAAGACAACTTCAACTCGGACTGGAATATTAGAGCGTACAAATTAGTCCCGAGGAGGGAGATGTTGGCATGATTGCCATGGTACCTGGGATTCTTATCCAACTGGTCTCCTTGGCGGAATTGTTTGTATTTTCAGCTGCAGTAGCAGCAGCACAAGCTTTGCCTGGCTGCCCAAATAAATGCGGGAATTTGTCAATCCCGTACCCTTTTGGGATATCCGATGGCTGCCACCTCAGAGATGAATTCCTCATCGTTTGCAACGAAACCTCACAACCCCCCACGGCATTTTTGACAGGAACTGTAATCCCAGTCTCCAACATATCCCTTGACGGTGAGCTACAAATAATGCAGTTTGTAGCAAGAGATTGTTATGTCAAGGAGGGTTTATCAGATACCAAAAAAAGCAACACCCCAAGGCTAAGGCTCTTCCCTCCTTATACGATTTCGGGCACGAAAAACAAGTTCATTGCTGTTGGTTGTGACACTTACGCGATCTTTGAAGGAGTGCGTGGGAGCGAAAAGTACGTAACCGGTTGCATGACCTTCTGCGAGAGCTTAGGGAGCATTCGTGAGTCTTGCTCCGGCATTGGGTGCTGCCAGACTTCAATCCCAAGTGGGCTTCAAGTTCGTACCGTGATGATGAGTAGCTACTTCAATCATACGCTTATATGGGACTTTAATCCATGTAGCTATTCCTTCATTGTGGAAGAAGGCCAGTTCACATTTTCTAATAGAAGTTTCCAAGAGCTCGAAAACACAAGCTGGCTTCCGATGGTTCTCAATTGGGCAATTGGGGATGAAGAATGTGATGCAGCTCAAAAGAAGGAGGACTATGCATGCAAGGGAAATAGCACTTGTGTCAGCCCCGTCAATCTGTCCGGCTACTTTTGTCGGTGCTCGCCAGGTTACGAAGGAAATCCGTACCTCCCAGAGTGTTGTCATGGTACTGATCATCTTTTAGATAACCTAATTTATAACTATGTGCCTTAATTATGTGTTAGTGAGTAATTTATACTCTCTTCAGATATCGACGAGTGTGAGATTTCAAACCGTTGCAGCGCAGGAGCGTGTATAAATTTACCTGGAAATTATTCTTGTGTCTGTCCAAAAGGGTTCAAAGGCGACGGAATGAAAACTGGAACTGGTTGCAGCAAAGACAATGGAAGCAATCTTTCCAAGAGCATTCGCTTGCTTATTATCTCATTGGGTAAGTATTTGCATTGGTAGACTATGTAACGGGCGTCGATCAAACTGTGTCACTATGTCAGTAATAAAATGTCGATACTATTATCACGGGCAACACAATATGGATGTGTGTTGATTCTTTAATATATGAACGGATGTCCTGCACAAAGAATTTCGGATTAAATGCATGCTATTGCTATATTATCATGTAGATCGAAATAAATTGAAGTCTTAATTTGGTGGTGATTTGCAGCTGTGACAGTAGCCTCCTTGATTTTCCTGGTGGGAGGTTCATGGGCCTACTGGGGAATGAAGAAAAACAACTACATCAAACTCAGAGAAAAGTATTTCAAAGAGAATGGTGGCATGTTGTTACAACAACGACTTGCAAGTCGCCAAGGAGGATTTGTGGAGACAACAAAAATCTTTACAGCAGAAGAACTTGATAAGGCCACAGACAACTATGATGACAGTAGAGTCCTTGGTGAAGGAGGCTACGGTACAGTTTACAAGGGAATACTACCAGATAATGAAGTGGTTGCCATAAAGAAGTCGAAAATCGGAGCTTCAATCCAAAGTGAGCAGTTTATAAACGAAGTTATTGTTCTTTCTCAAGTCAACCACAGAAATGTGGTGAAGCTACTGGGTTGCTGTTTGGAGACACCGGTGCCTTTACTAGTTTACGAGTTCATTGCCAGAGGAACTCTTTATTATCATCTTCATAACGTAAAGAGCAAAGAACCGTCGCTTTCATGGAGTTACGGTTGAAGATCGCAGCCGAAACTGCCGGAGCACTAGCGTACTTGCACTCCTCCACTTCCATGCCAATCATACACCGAGATGTGAAAACAACGAATATATTATTAGACGAAAATTACACAGCAAAAGTGTCGGACTTCGGAGCTTCGCGATTGATTCCTCTAGATAAAGCTCAAATCACAACTCTAGTGCAAGGGACTCTAGGGTACTTGGACCCTGAATACTTCCATTCGAACCAGCTAACAGAAATGAGTGACGTCTACAGTTTCGGAGTTGTTCTTGTGGAGCTACTAACAAGAAAAGTGGCACTGTCATTTACTAGGCCTGAAGAAGAGAGAAACCTGGCAAACTTCTTCGTTTGTTCCGTGGAACGGGGTCACTTGACTCAAATTCTCGATGACGACATAGTCACCGAGAGAAATCTTGAGACACTGAAAAGAGTGGCTAATCTTGCAAGTAGATGCTTGAGGGTGAAAAGGGAGGAAAGGCCTACCATGAAAAAGGTAGCAATGGAGCTAGAGGGGATGCAGACTGCGACGAAGCATCCACGGAGAAGTGCTGATTTCAGTCCAGAGGACACTGAATACTTGCTCGGGCCGCCTTCATTGGCTTATGCTAGAGGTGATAGTTGTTCTAGTACTAGCATAACCATTGGTGCAACTAGTGTGTACAAAAGCATGCAAATCGAAATGTTAATGAGACAGGGTGATGGCCGATAATCCATCGTTTCTCAATAGTGTACATCTTTGAATATAATTAACAGAGAGCTACTCAGGCACACAAGAAATGAAATACATTTCAAGCACATGTTCAACACAACATCTTCGAATATAATTAACAGATTGACATTTCTTCGGTGGAATTCACAAACGAGTTCTAACACGAAAATGGTGTCTACAACATATGGAATTTCAAAGCTACAAATCTCAGGAAAAGCAAGTAATTTTGACAACTCAATCTAATTTGTTTATTCTCGGAAGTCACAAGAATCACCTAGACCAAAATGCTCAACCTGTTCATTACAGTGAAAATCATGATCACGAACCTTGCAATAAAATTTGAAATAGAAATACAAGAGAAGCACAACCTAATCAAATTGCGTTCTTTAAAATATAAACCCTGCTCAAGGAGACGAGAAAACTAACATAACCATTGTCGTACGTGAAGGTTGAAACAGGAGATCATCTTATCTGGGTAGGAGAACAGAGCAAACCAGATGCATCTGATCCAACCACTGCAAGATCACAAACAGTACAGATCTTTCCTTCATGGTCAGGAACAAACCGAGAGCTGCAGTACGGGCATGACACATCCTTCTGTCCACGGTAAATAGGCACGTATGTTCCCCCACAAACCACAAATGGGTTTCTGAAGTCATAGTTTAGCTGGGTTGCATCAGTCATGTTCTTTTCGGCAGCTTGCAGGATTTGTCTTGCGGTCTTTGCATGGTTTTCAACGCTGGGGTTGGTCTCCAAAAGTCGCCTGGCAAAGTTAGCTGCCGTGTTGAGATTACCAGCCTTATAGCAAACACTCATGGCATTTAGTAATGCTAGCCTCAAGTGAGGGATCTGAAGGTTGCAGTGGGTGAAGTAAGCTGCCAGCTCCTGTTGGCGAACCGGATCGCCTTTAAGTTCCTTCCTCTTAATCTCCATCTTCAAACCCAGAACATACTCCTTTACAATGATTATCAATTCTTTTACTTCATCAACCTCTCTCCTTGAATCAACTACAATCAGAGGAATAGTATGCAGAATACCAAGGAAAAGACGTAAAGCATCAGCAAATTTCCCTTGGGTTGTGGTCTTGTAACCCACCTTAAGCTTCTCTTCTAGCTCAGAGAATTTAAATACAAGAGCAGGAGGACCCCTAACATTAGGAGTAGCTGATTCACTCCATCCCCTCTCAATGGCCACGGTAAGCACAGGAGCTGTCGAGAAGGCACGTAGATACGTATGACTGCCCATGTGTAAATCGAGAAATAATTGTCTTAAGGGATCAAAGTTTTTTATACCCAGCTGCCTGCTCAACAAACGCATTGCAATATCGAAATTCCCGGCTGCAGCATGTTCAGCAGCCAGAGATGATTTCTGGGACCAGATTTGACTTACAGGCATACCAGGAGTTGGGGCAACAAACACAGAAGAACGGGCGTTGCTGGCAGTTTTTGGAGTATCAATCTCAGGTGGAAGTTCAAGATCTTCAAGATCCCATCCTTCCTCCTCATTTTCCTCGTGTGCTTCCTCATCATCCAGCACTGCACTGATGTCTCCATTTGGAATCTTGTCCACGTCAACAATATCCAAATCCTCTCCCCAATCAGCATCTGTAGCCTCTTCATACTCTTCCTCAACATTCTTCCCCACATTATCAAGACCACCCTCAAATATTCCTCTCATGACCCTCAACAAGGGCCAATCTCCACCGCAGATGATTGGCGTTGGAGGTATCAAAAGAGAGGGAGATTTCCCCTTGGGTAAAACAGGAACATTATCTCCCAGTTCAGCTGCCAAACGTTCAGCAATATCATGGAGCCCATGGATTACAGCTGTGCTATAAGCAAGAGGTAAATGACCCGCATTCTCCAAGATCTTAACACGTTCTCTGATATCACCCAAATACAAAGCATTGTGGAACTGACCCATCACATCATTCTTCACTTCAGCAATTTTCAGCATTTTGGACAATTTATCCAAGTTTCCAGTCACAAGATATAGGAATGATAGCCTCTCAAAATTCTTTGTCCTCTGATACGCATATTCTACAATGCCTGCATTACCCTGACGTAGGGCCTCCACTCCCAATCGATACCAGTGATCTTTCTCATCAATTTCCTTGGCAGAAGCAACAGCAATCTGGATGTTCCCACTCCCTAGTGCCAAGTTGAAGCGAGTCCTCTCATCCTTCACAAAATGAAGAGCAACTTCAGGGAAACCTTTCTGCTGTAGATATGCAATCATGGCCTGGCCACAGAGCTCAGAACTCCTAATCATGCTCATAACCTGGTCATACCTTTTCTTCAGTAAGGATAACTTGAAAACATATTCTGTTGCATCAACAACAATGGCACGGTTCTTCCCATCTCGATCCAAGCAATGTATGGTGTTTCCATACACTTTTGTTATATACACGGGAATGTCAAGGGTCCTGATGATTCCACTATCCCCATTAGGAAGGCAGTATTTGATGTGATTCAAGGTTGTATATATGAAGACACCATTGTCATCCCAAGCTCCACTCTTTACACGAATTGTCTCATGGAGAGTGCACTGATGCACAAGCTTCTTATTGGCTATCACAATTGAATGTTTGCTAAGTAAAGCAATGCTCTCCATGTCATTTGACCAAACAATATACCTTACAAAAGGAGTTTGAAGCTCTCCAACAATAATTCTCTGCTGCAGGTCAAAAATAATGACTCTGTCCTCTGCCCTGCAGAGCAAGTTTCCAGTTCCAGCATAAAATATTGCATCAGCAACAATAGGTAGGGCACTCTTCTTGACAATCTCATTTTTCAGATTTTTAACTATAACTTGGTTGGTGCTCTTTTCAAGCACTGCAAACCTATTGCGAGCCACGAACACAGCTGGGCCTCCGATTCCTCTTTTTGCCTCCTGCACAGTATCACCCCGACCAAAGCTATCTTTGGGTATAATGTATAGTTCATAAGAACCCCCTTCCGTATCTGAACCTATCAAAACAGCATTTTCAGTAGGGCTGTAAGATAGTGTTTTTGCCCCTTGATTCAAGTTGGAAGAACCAGGCCTTCGAATTGGGATAACTTGACTGTCTCTCTGGGTGGAGAACTCATAGAAGCGGAGAAAACGATCTTTAACATAGTACATGGAATCACCGCTAACAGAAAAAGCAGGACGCTCCCTCTCCAATTTAAAGACGATCATGCCACTATCATGCCCAGCAGCCAAGAGGTTCATTTCAGGATGTGCTGAAAGAATCCAGAACCTATCATGCTCCCTACGAAATGTCTGAAGACCAGTCCGTTTTGTTGCATCCCAGACTCGGATACTCCTATCCTCGGAATTGGACACAATAATATCCTGCCTTGAATGGAATAGAACACAGGATACATTGTTCATGTGCCCCCTTAGAGTGTCCACTTCCCAAGCCTTTGTATCTGAAATTGGAAAGATTAACAGGTGACCATTTGCCAGTTCAACCAACAGGATTTCATAACTCTATTTTTATATTTCTAATGTGCACACACTACAAGAGTATTTGCCAAAATAGAGTTAATTTCTTGATCTATTCATCTCCCAATCGGAGGATTTATATAGGAATACAAGCAATGATGATCAGGTATGAAACCAGTACAAGAAGTCATAAAAACACTGCTGTGAAACTACTGCCTATACCTAACTTTACAGCTTACAACTACTTTATTAATTACAATGGAAAACATGTCTGATTTCCTAATTCTTTAGTCAACAATGGCTGATTTAGTTAACAAGTCTACAATGGCTGGCTGCTACAAGTCTACAATGGCTGGCTGCTTCAGTTAACACTCCCCCTCAAGTTGGTGCATAAATATCTCGAATGCCCAACTTGCTGAGTGAAAGATGGAAAATCCTGCTTGACACTGCCTTTGTTAAAATATCTGCTAGCTGATCATCACTCTTCACATAAGGCAAGTTAATGGTACCATCAACCAACCTTTCCTTAATAAAGTGCCTATCCACTTCAACATGTTTAGTACGATCATGTTGAACTGGATTATGAGCAATGCTAATGGCGGCTTTGTTATCACAATAAAGATTTGATGGCTTTGTAGAATTGAAACCCAATTCTCTCAACAAAATCTTGAGCCATAACAATTCTTGCACGCCGTGTGCCATACCTCTAAATTCAGCTTCAGCACTGGATCTAGCCACTACATGTTGCTTCTTACTGCGCCAAGTAACTAGATTTCCTCCAACAAATGTAAAGTATCCAGAAGTCGATCTGCGATCAGTTACTGACCCAGCCCAATCTGCATCAGTGTATCCTTCAACTTCTTGATGTCCATGATTGGAAAACATCAAGCCTTTTCCAGGAGCAGACTTCAAATACCTGAGAATGCGTTGTACAGCATCCATGTGGGCTTCACTTGGCCTATGCATAAATTGACTCACCACACTTACAGCATAGGCTATGTCAGGTCGTGTATGAGACAAATAAATCAACCTCCCAACTAATCTTTGGTATCTTTCCTTGTTAGCCGAAACTTGATCAGGATAGTCTCCTAATCTATGGTTTTGCTCAATTGGTGTGTCTGCAGGTTTACAAGCTAACATCCCAGTCTCAGTTAATAAGTCTATAACATATTTCTTTTGAGAAAGAAAAATGCCATGCTTTGATCTTGCAACTTCAATACCCAAGAAATATTTCAAAGTACCCAAGTCCTTCATTTCAAATTCCTTGGCTAGATACATTTGAAGTTTTTGAATTCCCTCGACGTCATTACCTGTAACCACCATATCATCCACATAAACAATTAAGGCTGTAAGTTTACCTTTATCATGCTTAAGAAATAAGGTATGGTCAGCCTGAGTTTGCTTGAACCCATAATTTTTCATGGATTGAGTGAACCTGCCAAACCATGCTCTTGGTGATTGCTTCAATCCATACAAGGACTTTCTCAACCTGCATACTTTGCCAATATCACAAGTGGTAGTGAATCCAGGAGGAAGATCCATGTATACCTCTTCATCCAAGTCTCCATGTAGAAATGCATTTTTCACATCAAACTGTCGTAGAGGCCACCCCAGATTTGCTGCCAATGACATAAGAACCCTAATAGTGTTGATCTTTGCTACCGGCGCAAATGTCTCTTGATAATCAATGCCATAGGTTTGAGTATAACCTTTGGCTACCAATCTGGCCTTGTACCTCTCCACTGAACCATCAGCTTTATGCTTTACTGTGAACACCCATCTACACCCAACAGGTTTCTTGCCTTCAGGAAGTTTAACCAGTTCCCAAGTGGAGTTTTTTCGAAGAGCTTCCATCTCTTCAATCATAGCTTTTTTCCATTTTGGATTTTTAAGAGCATCCTGTAACTTGTTAGGAATTGAGACTGATGACAATTGGTTTGCAAAAGCTATATAAGAGTCTGACAAGCGATGAGATGAAACAAAATTAGATATGGGATATTGAATACCCTTTGTAGAAGAATAACCATAACGAACAGGGGGTATCCCTCGATTTTCTCGAATAGGATAACGAGAAACAGACTCATGATGTGGTTCATTTGGATCAGCACTTAATGAAATATCATGATTGGACTCATCAAATATAGTAGGCTGAAGAGAAGGAGAATGAGTGGTTACCTCAGGATAATTCGTATGAGTAGCAGCTGATTGGTCAGAGAGTTGGTCAATGAGGGGATCTATATGTGGGTGGTCTATCTCATCAGCACCTTTTTCTTTTTCTTTTCCTTTATCTCCCCTTTTTCTTGTCCTCTCATATACCTTCAATATTTTTCCACTCTTTGCCTCATCATTAGGCAAGTTTGGACCATCACCGGCATCAGACAAGTGTTCATCCGAAGAATGCATACCACCAATGTCAAGTGGCCACTGCTCTTCCTCCTTACTCCCTATCTCCCCCTGAAGAGAAGTGACCAAATCTCCCTCTGAAAAATAAGCCTCTTGTTCCTGAAAGGTAACATCCATAGAGACAAAAATTTTCCCATTGGGAGGATAGTAACATCGATACCCTTTCTGAGTAGCAGAATAGCCAATAAACATACATTTGATGGCTCGAGGATCCAACTTATCACGATTTTGCATGTGGACATGAACATAGCAGACACAACCAAACACTTTTGGAGGAATATGAAGGAGTGAAGGAAGAGAATGATACTGGGAAAGGGTTTGGATAGGTGTTTGAAATTGGAGAACACGTGATGGCATGCGATTGATAAGAAAAACAGCTGTGTGAATGGCATCACCCCAAAAACGTTTAGGAACATGCATAGCAAAACATAAAGATCGAGCCACATCCAAGAGGTGACGATTTTTACGTTCTGCTATACCGTTCTGTTGAGGAGTATGTGGACAAGATGTTTGATGAATGATACCTTCTTGTTGAAAAAATGTTCCAAGTCCATAATTCAAATACTCTTTCCCATTGTCAGATCGAACAACTTGAATTTTAGCATTAAATTGGGTTTGAATCATTTGATGAAATATTGGAAAAACAGACATAACCTCACTCTTACTTTTTAGTAAGTATACCCAAGAAACTCGAGTGCAGTCATCAATGAAAGAGACAAAGTATTTAGCACCAGTATGAGTAGGAATATGAAATGGTCCCCAAACATCAGAATGAATAAGAGAGAAAGGAACATCACTTTTATTGGAGCTTAAAGGAAATGAGACACGATGATTTTTAGAAAAGATGCAAGTTTCACAATGGAAATTAGAAACCTTGACTTTAGAAAATAAAGAAGGGAATAGATATTGCAGGTACTGAAAGGAAGGATGTCCCAATCTTTTGTGCCATAACCAAATTTTTTTAGAAGCTTCAACTTGTTTAGCTTCCACTTGACAACTGTAACTTGTCTTCTCACAATCTGGTGGTAAGTCCAAGTAGTATAGACCTCCCCTCTCTCTACCATGACCAATCAACGCTTTCGTTCGAATATCCTGAAACCAACAATGAGTAGGAGAAAAGATGGCAAGACAGTTTAGTTGATTTGTAAGTTTACCAATGGAAAGCAAATTGTGAGAAAGATTAGGAACATGTAAAACAGATGAGAGAGATAGGCATGGTGTTAATGAGATGGAGCCTGCTCCAAGCACTGGAGTGGAAATACCATTAGCAACTTTAACGGTATTTAAAGGTGGAGTAGTGTGAGAAGCAAACCATGAAGAGTTATTGGTCATATGGTCAGAAGCCCCCGAATCAATGATCCAAGGTTTATTTGGAGCACCAAATGTGGTGTTCAAGGCAAAACCAAAGTTACCTGCGTCGACTAAGGAAGTGGAAGCAGTAGTAGGAGAAACTGAGTGAGCAGATTGATCTACTCGAGGCACGGAAGGCGTTGGTGTAGACAGGTGTGCTTGTGATCCAACAATGCTTTTCTTTTGATTTTCCTTCTTTTGAACCCACCAATCAGGATATCCATGCAACTTAAAACAAGTGTCTCTAGTATGCTTATCCTTGTCACAATAAGTACACTTCCTTGTATCAGTAACTTTAGATCCCCCTGATCGAGAATTCGAGACTCCACGGGGAAATCGAGACGGAGCAGCTACCATGGCTGATCCTTCCACTTGTGGGCCAACCAACATAATGGTTTGCCTACTTGCTTCAGCATTCACAAGAGCATAAGCAGCACGAACAGATGGCAAAGGTGTTTGAGTCAAAACTTGACTGCGAACATGATCTAAATGAGGATCAAGGCCAGCCAGAAAATCATACAATCTTTCTTCTGAAATTTCTGTCTCTCGAGCAGCAACATCATCAGCACATTTCAATTTTCCAGGACGTAAGAAATCTATTTCTTGCCATGTTTGCTGGAGTTTACCATAATATGCAGATAAAGGCTCACCATTCTGGCGAGTCGCCAGTGCTTGACGGCGAAGTTCATATAATTTTGATGCATCTTTTTCAATTGAGTAAGTTTGGGTAACAGCATCCCAAACATCTTTTGCAGTAGAGAGTCGGAGAAAAATGGCCCGCAAATCTCTAGTCATGGAGTTGAGAAGCCAAGATTGAACCATGGCATTCTCTTCCTCCCATATAGCATACAATGCATCGGCTTCTGCTGGTGCCTTATTTTTTCCACTGACATAAGACCATTTGCCTCTGCCAGTGATGTAGATGCGGACACTTTGGGACCACGAGGAATAGTTGGACCCATCCAACTTGTCTGGGGTGATATGTAGAGACATATCATTTTGTGTAACAGCAGCTGAAACAGTGGTCTTGGAGTCACCCATTACTACTGCAACAAATTCTCTTTATTGAAACAATAGAGTCTCACTGAGAGGGATGCAGGAGCAAAATGCAAGGAGGAAGAGGCAATGGCACGGGTTTGTTGGGTGATTCCAACGGGTATGGTTTATAGGGTATGGGGTAGTATTTAAAATTTTGGGTTTATAGGGTATGGGTTCGTGGAGATATTGCAAATGGACAGAAGATGGGTAGAGATGCAGCGGAATGTATATGGTTAACAAGCTCAATATGGGTAGTGATGTTGGCAGATATGGCCAAAGAGAGATTGGATTCGTATGAAAGTAGAAGGCCTGCTATTCTGCAGGTCTTATGGGGTAGATGGCAGTAGTGCCAGTAGGTTAATTAGAATAGAAACTCCTTTTGGATCAGAATGGCTCTGATACCATGCCAAAATAGAGTTAATTTCTTGATCTATTCATCTCCCAATCGGAGGATTTATATAGGAATACAAGCAATGATGATCAGGTATGAAACCAGTACAAGAAGTCATAAAAACACTGCTGTGAAACTACTGCCTATACCTAACTTTACAGCTTACAACTACTTTATTAATTACAATGGAAAACATGTCTGATTTCCTAATTCTTTAGTCAACAATGGCTGATTTAGTTAACAAGTCTACAATGGCTGGCTGCTACAAGTCTACAATGGCTGGCTGCTTCAGTTAACAGTATTTACAAAAATTTGAATATATGCATACTATTTAGCAAGGAATACAGAAGTACATATCCAAAAGCAATTGTGTGGCTTTTTTCAGTGTTAATGATATTACTTCTGACACAGTGACACTTGCCATGAATTAACTTTACGAAGAGGAAAGGGGAAATATATGTTTTTTCCCCTCATGATAGGAAACAAGACTTAAATTAAAAAATCATGCACAGTACCAACGGATGTCTGGTATTTGACAGAATAATAATTGAAAATTTTTAAATGACAATTCAGGCCAACAAACTAATTCATTGCCCTCTCTTTAACAACGTGAAACAATTTACCCCTATGGCTTACCAAAGGAATGAGAAAAGAATAAAAAAATGTTCAAAAAATTTTAGGTTACTATATCATGTGCTCGGTTGCTACAGAAAGGCAGATATTGAGAACGATGATGCAAGACTAAAAGATTGGTCTTTAAGATATATATTCCTAACACATGTTGTGTTTGACATAATGAGAACTGGATCTATTATCTAAAGAGAAATATAATTAAATGAATAATTCGATTTATATATTCCCAACTATTTAAATTTACAGAATTAAATTTTAAACAAAATGTCATTCAAGGATTTTCACCTGACTGTGGTACATAAAGCAAGAAGTAGATGCATAAATATTTTCGTTTCTTGTTAAAACCAATCTAAGAGAGGTGCGTAGTCAAAAATTTTTTCATTTCACAGGAAACTGAAATAAAAGAAAAAAGACATACCATTCATCCGCCAAAGTTTCAATTGTCGATCGTCTGCTCCAGAGACGATCAGAGGGAGTGTAGGATGAAATGATGCCCAATTCACACCCCGATCATGACCTTCCAAAACATACTTCACAACAGCATCAACTCCACCAAAGAAATCTGCATTCATCTGACTCAAGCGCATGATATCATCTGCTGGGGCAACCGTCTTTTTCCTTAGGGCACCAATATCCCAAACACGAACAGTTTGATCCAATGATGCTGAGACAACAAGATCCTCCTTTGGATGGAATAAGGCACACATGACGTAATGGTTGTGTCCAGTGAGCACAGAAATACAAGTTCGGGACTGCCAATTCCATATTCTAATTGTCTGGTCATCACTCGCACTAACAATCCACGGGTACTCATGATGGAATTGAACGGTTCGGATGTAATCAAGGTGTCCAAGAAGTGTAAACAAACACCTATGCAACTTGTAATTCCATACCTTGATCTTGTAATCATCCCCTGCCATTTAAGCATAAACAATAAATTACTTCTCTCTCGACTCTCTTCCAAATCGGCAGCCGTCATAATAAAATAAGACTTAACAGACAAGTAAATGGTTCTCAGGTTGATAGATCCAGAAAAACATAGGTAACCCAATTTCAGATTAAGAATATAAGAGTGAATAGTTCAGATCTGATTGATTCTACAGGGCATCAAGAAGAAACTAATGAACTACACTACCATTTATAATGGATGCATCGGGCGAGTTACAGCAAGATGACCACACATTACACAATGTGACAGAACTACCACGGCAGTATAACTTACATTTTATCCATTTCATATCGAATCTATAACGTCAAGTGCCTGAAATTTGCAGATTTATACACAGAGCGAACGAACCGACAAAAATAAGATTGAATTGTGGCGTTATACCTCCGGAGACGAAAAGCGGCTGAGAGGAGTGGAAATGGACGCCACGTACAGGGCCATCGTGCTCGTCAAAACGGTCGATGAGAGTGCCCATTCGGTAATCCCAGAGCTGGATCACACCGCTGTGGAGACTGGCCAAGATCCATGGCCGCTTGGGGTGAAAGCTCAGCCCTTTCACCCGATTACTCTTGGTCTCGAATTTCGTCAGCATCTCAAATCCCAACTGAAACCCCCCCTAACTGAAATCAAAGATCAAACAACCAAGAACAATTCAATTGACTAAACTCAATTCAATAATACAAATCACCCCTCAAAGTCTCCCAATTGGCAATGCTTTCGATCTAATTCTCCATTTTTTTTTCCTAATCAATTTCTCAGCAACCAATCAGGATGTGAATTCACGAATAAAATCATAAGTAGAGAAAGCGACATGTACCTCAGATCTGGGAATGCGGATTCTTGATTAGCAGCGTGGAAATACGAGACGACAGATTGGTTTGGCAAATCGTCTAATGATCAAATTTATCGGCTTTTCTCGGAAACCAATCAGCAGGCGAAAGAAACTCGGCAAGAGAGAGAGATTCAGATCTGGGAATTCATAGGTGAAATCATTTGAAGGCAGAACACATCTAAATGCAATGCACAGAGAGAGATAGAGAGAGAGAGAGAGAGAGGGAGGGTTCACTACCAGCTGGGAGTGACCTTGTTGCAGATCTGTTTTTCGTTTTGGGATTCAAGCAGGAAGCTTTTTTATTTCTTTCTTTCTTTCTTTTCGTTATCGGTTGTTTCCTGTTTACGTTTTAATTTTTTCTTTTTCTTTTTATTTTGTTTTTTGTTTTTTTGGACAAGTTGACCTTATGGTCACGTTTAATTCCTCTTGATACTGACTTTTTGGGTTTTTTCCTTTTATTTTTGAAAATTTTAACGAAAAGTACACAACATTGTTTACTTTAACGAAAAATTATATTTTTATACTAAAAAGTTAATTCTGATACTATTCATTTTACCCTTTATTTTGTTTTAATCATTAAAATTTAAAATTTTCAAGCCTTTTTATTTAGTTTTCATTTTTTTTTTTCAGGAAAAAAATTGAAATTTCGCTTAAATAAAATTACTTAAATCGAATCTTCTTTTGACTATTGGAGCAAACGTAATAACTTGTAACTCAAATTGTTTTACCCATATAACCGAAATCACGTAGTCAAATTCTCATGCCTTCAATTCTTCAATTGTTTCGATAAAAACAAGAAATGTGGAAGCAAAACGTAATATTCCTTGTAATTTGTGTCGTTTTATTCTTCATCTTGTTTACCCAACATCTATTTAGACTTGGAAGAGAATCCAACACGATTAATTGGAAAATGATATGGCAAAAATTTTGTTAGAATTTTGTTGATATATGTTGTTTTAAAATATGGAATGTGATTTCTTTCAAGATAAAAATGTTCTTTAGCTTTCGATTTACCCTAATGTAATGGAAATAAAATTGAACGGCTTGCACTGCGTCACATCAACTACAAGAAACCTTGTAAAACATTATTGCATTTATCAAGAGCTTTAGTTTCATTTAAAAATATTTTTAAATTGACTGAAAGTACTTTAAAATAAAGATTGAGTTTCCAAAGCATATAAATGCTTCCTGCAATAAACACAAAAAGTGGTACTTCTTGTAAGAAGCCCTTCAACTGCTTTTTCAAAATTCACATGTATCTTAACAAAGATTGGTTTCAAAAATAGTTTCATAAAAAACACTTCCAAACGATCCCTTACCGTTTATTGAAATTTGGAAAAAAGGGAAAATGAATGCTTCAAACGAAAGAAAACATTACCAACCTACAACAACGTTTAATGGTATTCCACCCACCAGTTTTCTCCTCTAGAGTACAACAATCAAAATTCCACCATTGCAGATTTTTCAATAGTAGCAGGTACATGTTCCGAAAAACGGCAATTTGCCCCAAGGGGGAGAACAAATTTAGCAAACGGTCCTGTGCGAAAATCACCTTACGTTAGGACCTGCCGGGCTTCGATATCCTTAAGTCTAAGGGTTACAGCTCTCTTGTGCGCCTCTAGTCCTTCAACTTCAGCCATGGTGGCCACGTATGGGCCGAGCTTTTGCAAGCCTTCCTCTGTCAAAGACTGCACTGTCATGTACTTGAGAAATGAGTCCAAAGCCACGCCACCATACATCCTCGCATAACCATATGTTGGAAGGACGTGGTTCGTCCCACTTGCGTAGTCTCCCACACTCTCTGGTGTCCACTGCCCTAAAAATACAGAACCTGCGCTCGAAAGATATCGAAATTTAGACAGCTGGAAACAAAATCCTAAGTTTAAAGTGACAAGGGACAAAAGGCTGAAGCTAGTGAGTTTCATCTGTACAGCTACAACTACAAGTCCAAATGAGAGATCACTAATCATGGCATGACACTCCGTAGACCAACGTTTGGAACCATCGGCAAAATGGAAGCAAAGATCAACATAGTGATACACAAATGAAAGACAAAAAGGAAGAAAACTACTGTTAAAAAAAAATTAAAGGAATAAAAAGGATGAAACTGTCAAGTTATAGGCTAAGAGAAGTATACCTGCATTTTCAATGAAACTCTCCCACTTTTCTGCATCCTGGACATTGATGATCAGATGCTCGGGTGCATACAAGTTTGAAAAAGAGACTGCCTGAAACAGCCATCATCATGTCTAATTTCGGGATCACACAGAACGTCTCAAACAACATACAGGTAAGCAAAGATGATGCATGTAGCCCAGATGTTAACATAGTTATCATAAAAATACTAAAAAGAAACACTTTTTATCAAACGCACCAATTGAGATAATAAAAATTTGGACAAAAATAATGAGTATCTTTAATGTTGAGAGCCAAATAAACCGAACCAAGAGACAGCAACGATGCAATTAAAATTTTCCATGCAAGGGGAATGCTGAGACAAAAATTCACTTTTGGACACAAATCACATAAAAATTCAGCTCGAGTAAGTAACTAATATAATGAGGCAACTTAAGGACGTAACCCTAGGCTGTAATCTCTCCTTTTAGGATCAACACTTAAACTCTTAAAGTAAGACTGTTCTAATCTTATATATAACAACCCAATATTACCTTCTTAAGTTGCCACATTACTATCTCCTTACTAGTTCAAGACTTTAGAGTAGAAATCTATGATTATTTCATTCAACAGAACTTTGCCAGACTCTGCAACCTCTCCAAAGGTAATTTAACATTGGATGAGATGAAATGCATGCTACAAATACCCTGACCCTACTCACCATCCTTGACCGATTTCACAAGTGATTCCAGTGAAGTAAATACAGGGGCTTCCTAAATTTAGTGACAGACATATCATATCAAGATGAAAGGACAAACCTCAACCATATCCCGAGCAAACACTGTGAAACTGTGGCTCAGTGCTTTTGAAGCAAACGCTCCCCTTGGTAGGCTTTGGCACTGCTTGCTGATTTCCTCTTCTATAGCTTTAACATCCACGCCATCCCCAGCAATTACAAGAACAACTTGACTATCAGGGCCGTGCTCAGCCTGAAATTGTATTAGTTACTCAGGTTGCCCACAAGCTTCCCAAAATACCATATCAATCATTTAGATTTCATATAATGCAGTAAAAGATCTGCAACAAATAACAATGTGCCTCGTTATACTAAGTCATATCTTAGTGAAACCTAGACATCTTATTATAAGGGGATTGAGAAATACAGTCGTCCTGCTTTAGCCACTTCAGTAGACTTGAAACAAAGCCTTAAATCTTTAAAACTGTAAGGGTGCAAATTGTATTGAGTTAAATATACAGTATGATTATGTTGCAAATTGAACCTGATTCTCTTATAAATGTTAAATTACGAAAGTGATCAATCACAAACTTAAAAAAAGCATTGCAGAACAAGGAAGCACCTGAGAAAGTAAATCAGCAGCTATATGAACAGGACTGGCATGTTTGTCAGCAATGACCAAAACTTCTGAAGGGCCCGCAGGCATGTCAATTGAAACCATGGCTTCGCTGTTCTGGTAAACGCAATAATCTAACTTAACTCCCATGTTTCAGCTTCACTAAAAGTTAAGCAAAGAACTTGTAATTGTAAGTATATGTACCTGGAGAATCATTTTTGCAGCAGTGACATATTGATTTCCAGGGCCAAAAATTTTTTCAACCTGAAAATTATTTGAATCAAAGAATTAGATAAGTAAGAGCAAAAGATTACATTTTCTTTAGATTGATAAGACAAATGAATTTCAAAGAAAATTACAACATAATAGCTAAGCTAACTTTTGTCCTCCGCTTTTTCTTATATGACTGATCCTCTATTTTATCAAAAGAAATCATGCTCAGAACATGAGCTAATAATTGAGTAACAAATACAAGGCATGGTACAAATATATGGACAAGTTATGAACAACACAATAACAATATAAAAGGGAAAGTAACACCTTTGGGCAAGATTCCGTACCCCAAGCCATAGCAGATATCGCCTGTAAAGCAAAAAGAATTATCAGATTACTGTATGTAATAAAACATAAACGTTGTATATTTGGTGTTTACAGACCTGCGCGCCACCAGCTTTAAGGATGTGAGTTACACCAGCCTTCTTAGCACAATATAGTACTTCCTGAGGAGCAAAACAAAAAATGATCAGCTCTAAATTTGAATCCCCTCATAACGCATTCCATCCAAAGTAAAGAATCACCTTGCATATGGTGCCATCCTGACTTGGGGGAGTGGCAAGAACAACAGTTTTACACCCAGCAATCTGTGCAGGCTGGTAAACATGATAAAAGCATTTGTCCATCAATCTTTATGATTTAAAAATTGAGAACCATGATAAAGATCAAAAGGATGACACAACCAAAAGCAAGTTTTACAACAAAAATGATCAACTTACAACAGAAAGCATCAGAGCTGTTGATGGTAAAACTGCAGTTCCTCCTGGAACATAAACACCCACAGAACCAATGCTTCTTGCCACCCGTTTACATTTGACACCCTGAAAGGTTAAAGATGCTTAAAAACTCTGGGTATATAGAAAAAAGAAAGCTGCAATATAGGTTTACCTTCATGTTCTCGACACTTTTCTCAGCTGATTTCTGAGCAAAATGAAATGCATATATATTGTCATATGCCACATCAAATGCTTCTTTAATAACTGCATCAAGCTGCATAAGAAAAATATCAGAATTCAATACATCAAATTAATATCTTGTATCCAGAAAACACATCTACATAGAGATACCTCAGGATCTGGAAGCTCGGATACTTCTACAACTATATTATCCAGTTCAACTTTGTCAAACTTTGCAGTATACCTGCGTGAGAGAAAAATAAATAAAGCATATTAAAACAACAAATTCTTCAGGAATTAAAGGTGTGCTAATAAAGTAATAACAAATCAATAAAATGATAAAAAGGAATTAAAGAAGTACATACTCCTTAACCGCAGCATCCCCTCTTTTACGAACCTCATCAACTATAGGGTTGACCTGACCAAGTATAGCTACTATATTGTATGAGTTACTTCATTTATGAATATAAATACGAACAAAAAAGTTGTCAAGAACAATCAGGATTTGAGAACAAAAGAAAGGCTCACCGTGCTGAAAATTGAAGAAAAATCAATTCGAGGACGAGCTTTCAGGCTTTCAACCTCAGGTGGGGCTAGTTCAGATAACCTATAAGACTTCATTGAGCAAGTTATCCCCTTACAAGCAAACCCTGAGCAAACAATCAACTTTACTAAATCAAGAAATGAAATATTAATAAAGAAAAGCATTGAATTTACGGGTGAGCACCTAACATCTACCACATAACTTCGACATATGATTATATGGTCACATAAACAGCATTTATACATAAATTCACCTCTTAACTATATAAATGTCTTATATTTTGCACACTTTATTTGCATGTATGCACTCATAAACGGTTGAAATGAAACAAATTTAAACTCTTTAGTTTTTATACAACTGAATAACGCAAATATCCTCTAATCAGGCACGCAATTTTACCAAATTTCGAGTCAGCTCCATATCAACAAGCACTATACTAACTCGAAATTTGACACACATGGTGAAAATAACTACATAGTTACATTCAATGTAACTAAAAATCACTCTTTCAATTGAGCATTGCAGTTTGACTCCAAAATCAAACGCATGAACTGCAATTCAGTGAAAGAAACCGAGGAAATGATGGATTCATACCTCGCCGGAGAAATAGATTTCGGGCTTTCGGGGCGGCAACGAGCGAATGAAACTGTCGTTGGATAAAGCAGCTACTGATGCTGCGATTAAAACACAGAACCTGACGGTCCATCATCATCGCCTTCAATCAGACCAGCTAAATTAATACATATTGTAAAGGGAAAAGAAATTTTTCTCTTAATTTTCTGTTTGGCTGGCGAGAAAATGTGGGGAAAGGAAAAAGAATTGACCTTCTTGCATTTACGCACGAAAATGGCAGAGGGAAGGAGAAATTTAAGATTTACCTGCAAAGTGGAAAGTAAGCGTGACGCGGTGACTGATGACTGTGAACGTACGGCCAGCCACTAGACGGAGCCGCGGAGAAAGACAACCCAAGTTGATGAAGGAGAAGATGAGATGGACTTCGGAAAGAGTCGCCGGAAACGGGAGAAACGGAGATGCAATCGCCGCCAAGATGAGAGAAAGCTGAAGTCGCTAGAAAAAGATGAGTTTACTATCAGGGAAACTGGATTTGGATCCCCATCCGGATCCATATTGTGGATCTATCTCATCTTAATTATTTATATTGTGCGATGAAAAATTATTTATATTGTGCGATGAAAAATCATTTAATATTTTTTTATTTAAAATTAAATATAAATAATATGTAATGAAAACAGACCGTACGATGTATGATGAACGGTTAAAATGTAGAGAATCCTAAGATACAAAGTGTATCCAAAAACATGCTCTTCCCGAAAACTGAAGAAAACAAACGGATGACTAGGAAAAGAATGAAATATACAATCCCTGTTAATTAATAAAATATTTATTATCAACTAAAATTTTATAAAATTACCAGTTTAATTATCTAATTAAAACAAAATATAAATAAAAAATATGAGGCATAATTGTAATTTCACACAATAAAATTTTACCTTTTTTTTTTCAAAACATCACCTAAATGGCTAAATGTAATCCTAACATATCTCTAATTAAAATAAAATATTACATTCTCTATTTCTCTATTTCTAAAATATTAAAATAAAAAAATTTCTCACACAGCTAGTATTAATAATAACAACAAAATACATAATTATATACATAAATTAATAAGTATATATATAATATTAATAATATTAATAATATCAGTCAGGTACAGTATATTTTGGTACCGTACCCATTATGTATGTTCGGTATAAATATCTTACTTCTACCAATTGGTACAAGTAAGTAAAACACAAATTTGGCATAGGATGATTAGTAATTCAATTGACACGATAATTGACAAAAAAGCTCACCCCTAGTTTTCCTAGCTAATGTGGGAGAAATTTTTAGTTGTGACTGGAATACGGATGGTACACCACGTGTTTTTATGCAAATAGTGGAAAATTTTAATTTTTAAATTATTAACCTTTTAACACACATAACTCACTATTTATATAAAGATAAATGATGTACCACCTCGTATAACGGTCACTAAAAAAATCTCTCCTAATGCGGAGTTGGAGTGGTCAGGGTAGCAAACCGTATTTGGATTTTTAATAGGCAACAAGCCCAAACTTTCCTTACCAGAGATTGGGTTAGGAGTTCAACCCAAACCAAACCGGAACCAAACTAAAATTAAGGATAACGAGATATGTTATTTTATTGGACCGTCAGTTTAATTCAAGACGCCTCACATTAATATTCGAACAAAATAACGGGAGAAAATGAGGGATGACGCAAGTAGAGGGAGGGAGAAGAGAGAGACGGAGGTGAACGTATAAAACAAAGCTTAAAAGTTCGTCTTCAATTTTGAATTCTTGATTTTCATTTTTTGCATACATTTATACCGTTTATCTCGCATTGTTTCTAAAAAAAAATTGTAAACTAAAAACTAAAAACGAAATAATTATTCGTAATTTTTCAGTAGCTGCAAAATTTATTAACTCCGAAGTAATTGAAGAAGCAACAAGTCATTGATTCCTTCTTAAGCTTTTTACCCATTGGAGGCTTGGAGCATCCAATCAGCAAAAAAGTAGTTGTAAACTTTGTATCAAAAAACCCCTTTTACGTATACAAATCTTGAAGTAAAAATGTCACACTGAGAATAAAACCATACAGAAATTCTCCAACCTGATACTGCAAATATAAGACTGATACTGACTCCTCATGGACTATCTTGAAATTCAGTTATATCCTGGAAACTCTGCAACCTTTTTCTCCTGCCCGCCTTCGGAACTGGGGATGATGAACTGATGTAATCCACTGATTCTCGCTCCTGCTGCTGATCAAAGCGCAAAGAACGGCGCACTGCAGAGTTCCTTGGTGAACCAGCATTTCCGGATATAACATTTTTGTCTTTGAGATCAACTGATTCAAGCTTTGGACCCAGACTTTTCACTTGAGTTTGCAGACAATGACTTTCAGGGGGTATGTTACTATTCAGGTTTTCGTTGTTTTCAAAGTATTCAGAGCTAAGCAACTGTTGTTGTTCTTCTTCTTCGACCATATCTGCCCAACTTTTCTTACCACAACTGTACATTGAAGAACTGACCACCGTGGCTTTGTCTTTCAGTTGGAAACAGTCATCATTCACCCGAGAGGTATGCTTCCAATTTCCACGTGATATAGGTTGCAGAACAGATCGTACTGCTGCATCTCCTTGGGGCCTCCTCGAATCTCTGCTAATTGGTGAAGACAAACTAGAGACCGAGTTGTGAAATGCTACTTCTGACTTTCCAACAGTTGAAGCTAGAAAATCTTCATTGAGACTTCTAACAGCATTGGCTCGCACGTTTTCTGTTCTTGGACATTGGTCAAATGAGAGTTTTTCATTTGAACTTCCAACTTTACGTCCCCATATTTCCCTCCTCGGGTGTCCACCATTAAATCCCCATGCAGATCTTTTTGGTTGAGAAAATTGAACTTCTGGATCCCAAATAGCAGGAGCTGGAGAAAAAAATGTCTTCACATTCAAAGTTGTTTCTGCTCCCAGTATACCACCCTGATTTTCCTTGATTCTGCTGGAAAAACTAGACCTGCTCTCACAAGGGTTTACGAAATAATGATCTTTCTTCCATTGATCAACAGATACAGTCTCTTCTTCGCGACCGTCTGCCCGCCTTCTGGATAACATGTGAGATCTCCCATCCTGTTCAACTGGTCTTAAAACTGATTGTGCCTTTAGCTCGGTCAGCATTTGACAAGCACGCTCAAAAGACTTGACATAAGATTCATCCATTGGTTTATTTCCAGATGAATCTCTCACAACTTGCAGCAGAGATTTTGCTTCTGTAAATCTGTTCATACGCATCAAGCAGATTGCCAAATTGCATTGCTTGTTCTTGTCTGGCTCCAATGACAGAGCTTTCCTGAGATTTTTTTAAAAGAACAAATCATATACAATTAGAAAAATATATCGTTTCACATGTGGGGTATATAAAGCAGGATGTACAGAAACTTACAAGTAGTATTCTTCGGCAGTTTTGTAATCACCTTTCAGCAAGTAAGCCCAGGCCAAGTTTCCTAGTATTCTGCGTTGACAGATTACCCAAGTCATCTAATTATGCAGAACTTTACAGTCGAATTAGTACGAAGAATGAGAAAAGCAGTGAAGTTCACCTTGCTCTCTCTTGCTCAACGGTAATTTGAACCTTCCTCCCCTGAGATCTTGCAGTCTTTGTCCTCCTTCCACAAAAAGCTACACCATCGTCAATGTGTTTCAATTTGGACTGAAGCATTTCAATCTCTTCTTCAATCCTCCCCGACCGCTGCAAAACCGATAAATGTAAAGCAAAGTGAGCAACACATAAACATACATAGACACCGACAAAGAGAAGGATATGCAATTGGAATAACCTTACTGCAACATGTTGATATACCTTGAAATTATGATAGGAATATTCAGCAGTACCTTGTAGAAATAGATGTTAAGGAATACAAGCATTCGAGTAATAGATATTCAGAAATAATACCTTGTCGATAAACTCCCATAAATATATTCTACTGATGCATAACGAGAGAGAAATAGAAAAAAGGAAGGAAATAAAAGGCCACAGGAGAGGAACTCCTGATTTTTAATTTACACTGCAAGTCTGCCCAGAAAAGTTACAACAAGGCCTACTTTTAGCGGCTTGGTTGCCTCAACATATTACAACAAAGCCTTATCCCGCTAAGTCGCCTCAACATAGCAAGAAAATATTGTAACCTAGTTCTAGACTTCTAGCAGTTCCTACTTTCGACTCACATTTGAGCACTAAACCTTCTTAAAGTCCTGAATATCACGTGTACAATACTTTTATAGCTCCTACCATGATGGAGTTACAACCGCGTGTTCAAACAAGAAGATAACAAAATATAAGTAATTTGTCGTAGAAATGAAGGTGCTTTACCTTGTACAGTTCAACTAAAACATTGTTAAGAGATTCCTGAGAATCATACGGGCAGAGATGACGAAAAGATTTGATCGCTTCAATAGCCTCCTCCGCTCGATCCAATTGTTTCATCACAATTGCCATGTCTTTCAAGGCACTATCAACTCGATCCCCAGCATTTATAGCAGCCCAGAAGAGGGATATGGCTTTGCCTGGATCCTTTTCTATCAACTGCATTCGAAGAACGCAAATCGATCAAACAATATAGCAGTGGAAACCAATTGCAAGAAAGATATCCCAGTATCAATTCCATTAACTAAAGGAACAAAATTGGTCTCTAAATTCTTACCTTCCAGGAAAAAAAAAAAATCATTAGGGGAAACCAATTAACAAGAAAGAAAAACAGTAGCTAATTTTGAAAAATAAGAACCGAAATAAAGAAAAATCACATTACCCAAAAGAAATTTATACCAAATTACGCATAAAAATTCAATCTTTCATACCTGCACCTGTTTGGCTCTGACGTAGGGAGAATCGCCAGCAGGCACTTTATGCACAACGTGAAAATGATCCTCTCTATCAGAAGGCGACACTCTCTTCCTCTCTGACATCGGCACCACCGGAGGAGTTGGCGGCGCCGTCTTCCATGTCGCAGGCGGCGTCGAGAAGCCTCTTGTGCCAAAGTTCTTGTCTCGGGTCCACATTGGGCTATTACTACGAGAGAAAAATCTATGAAATTACCCAGGAAAAAAAAATCACTTTCTCGGGAAAATCTTGAGACCCTTTTGGTGAATCTCTCCAAGAAAGGGATTTTGGTTGCCGGAAGGACGCGTCACTTTCTAGGGAAAGTTTTCAGACGCGTTTCTTGATAGATAGAGAAAGCGTTGCAGAGAAAGAGGGAAGGAAAACAAGTTAGTTTGCCTTGCCGCGTGAATTGTTTATATAGTTATGGGTTTCTGGGGATCGATGAGAAAGTGAGAGAAGATCACAGAGAAAGTGCAGAAAGGTGAGCGAAGTCGAATTGAGAATTGAGAGAAAGTGAAAGAAAATTAGCCGTTTATTCGTTTCAAAAGACAATAAAAAGAAAAATTAGCCGTTTAATTATAATTACTAGCCGTTGGGATTAGCGACGCTTCACACACGCAAAAAAAAAAGTTGAACAACGGCGGTTTACATCGGATTAAATTTATATTTCCCATCTATTTGATCTATGATTCTACGTTAAATTGATGTGTAGCAAATGTGTGATATGTTTTTAAGCTGCATAGAAACTAAACTATGTGATTGGTTGTGGTTTTAAAATATGAAATATTGATTGTAGAGAAAACGAAGCATAATGACGATCTTTTTTTATGCAAAATAATTTTAACGTCAATTAAAAAAAATACATAATACGCTTGTTGTATCATCAATTTAGTGAAAAAAATCTAACATAAAGCATAAAGATAAAATTTCAAATCCTGAAAGTCCAAAGTGAGAAATGTAATTAATATTGAAATATACGTTTAGATAGTAAAATTAAGCGACATAAAAGAATAATTTAATAAAAATTGATATCCTCCAAATCGTTACATAATCACTTTTCGACATTATTTAGACCCAAATAATTGCATGCCTCTTTGTTGGTCAAATATATTAGCTTTTATGACCTCAATCACAGCCACCACCCCGAACACTTTAACTCCGGCAACCTCAGCTGCCTCCGCCACTTTCACCACGTACTTTATCGCCGGCCACACATGCTCGCGCACCTGCGCATTGATGTCCAATATCGTAAGCGCGTTGCGGAAGCAACGCTGGCGGAGTGCAGGCGAGGCTATAACGTGGGTAGGCATAACGCGATAGGGTTGGTGGTCAGCACCGGAGAGACCACGTCTCCGAGCACGGTGCGCGATGCGAGGTCGTTGTTGTAAGTTAGGAGCTGGAATTGGAGTCTTTGTCTGGTGCGAATTTCAAGCGTGGCGCAAGCAGTTTGTTGTGATGAGTTTTCGTTCTTGAACTCGGACATGTGCATACGGTAGGCCAACTTGAACCCCATTGCATTGGTGATCAATTTGTTTACCACAAATCTTCCTAGCCACAACCAGAAGAGCAAGCCAATAGATTAATTAGATTGAGAGCATGCCACTATTAGGCCACAAATTTAGTTGTGTTTATCTCGACTCTAAGAATCCCTTTATTTAATGAATCAATCAACCCTTTATCTTGACTCCAATTCAAGAAAGCTTGCACATTCCTATTCTGGTTTTGAGTGATAATCAGAATTCCTTAATGTCGCGTAGAATTCCTTAGTGATCGTGTCGTGTCAAACTTGTTAACTTAACGTATTTTAAACTTCAAACTCAAATCCAGCTCATTTTACTCATTAAGGACAATATATTACTTCAATAAATAATCAAATGAAAAAACCCATCTAAATTTATAAATTCCTTTTGATTCAACAATGCAACTATAAGTATCTTGTTAAGCACCACATCTACGTACGTGCCCCATAAATTGAGAGAGGTACTAAGAGAGATAGGGAATTAGTTTATTTAATTAACGAGTTGAAACAGGGAGAAGACCTTAATGAACCCGTTATTTAACGAGTTGACCGATAAATCATCAAATCTCGACTCAAACTTATTTTTTTGGTGTCAAATTAACGTGTCGTGCATAAAATTTCCAGATCTCAATTCTAAAATCCCTTAAAACCAAGAACATTGTATATACCTGTTAAATTCTAGACAACATATTTTTCAATGGATTTGATTATTCATCCTATTGTGTATTCCAAAAAGAGAAATCAAGTTACATTAAAGAATAAAAAACATTGGCACATATATACTTAATTTGTTAAAATTTACTATCTTGATCCTAATAGATGCAGAGTGAAGCCGGCAACTCGCACCAACTATCGCCAACAGTAACACGCCTCATTGAGAAATAATCGTGGTATAATTGCTTGATAATGAGATTAAGAAATTGATGAATTGCTTAATTTAATCACCCCTAACGAACTGCGCGCCTTGTGTTGATCGAAAATGTCAGCTTTTCTGACTTCAATCTCAGCCACCACCCCAAACCCTCCGAAACCGTAAACCTCAGCCGCTTCCACCATATACTTTTCTATCTGGGGCGCCACACGCTCGCGCACAGTCCTATTAATTTCCAAACTCGAAAGTGCGTTGCGGATGCAGAACTGGCGCAGTTCCGGCAATGCCATTTCGCGGGGAGGCACCGCGATGGGGTTGGTGGTCAGGTCCGGAGAGACCACGTCGTCGAGCACGCACATAGCGAGTGATGGGACGTCAAGGCCGTTGGAAGTTAGGACTCGGAGCTGGAGCCGCTGTCTCGTGCGGATTTCTAAAGTTGGTGACGTAATTTGCTGGCAATGCGGTGATGGGTTTTCGTATTTGATGGCGTACATGTGAAGAGCGTAGGTGATCGAGTCGAACTCCATTGATGGAAGAAATAAGGCCGCAAGATTATTGCCGGTTCATATGAATAGGTAAGTCTGACAGGGGAAAGCTTGGGGAATAAGTAACTTGGTACGAGATTAGGAAAATTAATCCTATTTCAATTAGGAAACCCGCCCATGAATGGTTTAACTTGGGTACCAAGTAAACATCAAAATTTAGGAATTCTGGGAAAACGTTGACCAATAATATTTGATCATTAGATTGGCCTGAGAACTCCTCCTTGCATTAGGATAAAGAGTGAGTAATTTTCGTAAAATAAATTTACAACTGTGGTCAGCCAATTAACGCAGTAACTATTTCCTTTCCTATAGGCATCAAGACTCCTACTCAAAGAAGGTTTCCTAAATGAGCACTGTTGAACCGACTACCAAGGACTATATATAAGTAGCACAAGTAAGCACTAAGGAACCAGAAGGACAAGCGTTTCTAAGAGTGCGATTCAGAATTCAGGAGAGAAATTTGTTGAGAGAAGTAAGTTAAATGGGGAAGAGAAAGTCTACGGCAATAAAACCAGCAGCCAAGAAGCGATTTGCCGAGAAGCTTGATACTGTTTTCTGTTGCCCCTTCTGCAACCATTCCAGCAGTGTTGAGTGCCGAATCGACATGAAGAACATGATTGGTGAGGCTATCTGTTGCGTTTGCCTAGAGAGTTTCAGCACAACTGTCACAGCTTTGACTGAACCGATCGACATTTACAGTGAATGGATTGATGAATGCGAGAAGGTCAACGGAACCCTTAACGATGAATGATGATGACGGTTTCCTGAAACCAGCTGATATCATCTTCTTGTTTTTTGTTTTTCCTTGATAGTTCAGTCGTTGTTTAATGGAAACTTTTGTGCCCCAGAATACAATATAGTATTTCCGAACCTTATTCATGTGGTGGTTAAACGTACGTAGTTTTTAACCTACGAAGGGAATAATGTCATATATTTGTCTTTTATATATATATATATATATATATATATGTATATGTATGTATATATGTATATATGTATGTATGTATGTATGTATGTATGTATAAAACAAACAAAAAGACTAGGGTTGAGGAGTAGACCTATCTATTCTAATTCTTGCTAAGTGAAAGAGGCATTTTTGGTACTCTTATATGAATTCTGTAGGCTGTACATCCTATACATGAAAATCTCAAGGAAACTGGTACGGTGACTTCTCAATTTCATCTCACAAACATAATGATTTATGGAATACGGGACGTGCTGCATAAACAATGTAGATATACGAGGTCCACAACGGACACTACCAATGAATTTCATGTTCGATTCCAAGGAGATTTTAATACACACTTCCAACAAATCTAACTCATAAATTGCAAATCACAAGTGTACTGGAGCTATAATAATAATACAGAAATTTCGGAAACTAGTTTCCATGGAAAATATCTAAAATTTAGCTTGAATGCTACTAATTACAGATTTGTCAACCTGGAAAGATTTAGCCAGAACATCTTCTGAAATTGCGGGATTGGATCCAAACACAGCATTAGCAATGGTGTTGACTCCCGGGTTTTGGCTACTCAGAGAAGAGAGTGAAATGGCAATTCCATTCCCCACATTTTGCTGATAGTGAACTAGTCCAACAGGGAACACAAACACGTCACCCTTGTTAAGGACCTTTGAAATGAGCTTGTTGTCGGGGTTTGATGTCACAAAGCCAACATTGAGGCTGCCTTCTAAGACGGTTAAAATCTCAGTGGCTCGGGGATGAGTGTGGGGTGGGATAACACCCCATGGTGCGTAGTCGATGCGAGCGAGTGAGATGCCGAGGGTGTTGAGACCTGGAATTTGACCCACATTGACAGGGGTGACCTTTCCGCCAACAGGGTTTGAGGTGTTGCCGGGGATGTGAAGTCCGCTGAAGAAGAAATGCTCAGCTGTTGCTAGCTTGGAGTCCAAGCAAGGAAACCCATTTACTCTCGTTGCTGTGATATGTGCACAAATACAATTCACAAAGCAAAAGTTAAAGTCAGCGGAGGACTAAGTAGGATTAAGAAGTGTACACATTTTTAAATGCAAACTTAAAGCTTATCTTAGCACAAATAAAAACTGCAAAAAACTTCGATATGAACCTGAGCTAGTTGTGTCAGCGACACAGAAATCTTGCAATGGACTAGGCTCAAAAGCAATGACCAATGCGCATGTCATAGCAAGGAAAGTAATCAATAGCAAAATTTGGTTTGTCATCTCAATTAGTCTTTCACCTTTTCTTCGAGATATTTAAGTTATTGCAATTGATAGATTGAAAGAACTGAGAGAGAGGTGGGGAATTGAAGTATGAACTTGGTTATTTATAGAAAGGGGTATGAATGAATTAAGAACGAACATTTAAACGAAAAGAAAACGCTGCCGACCGTCGGCCGGCGCACCTTGCATGTAGACACTGGATAAGTCTTAAACGTTTTACTTAAGCTAAATTTTAACATAGGCACATCCATTAAATCCAAAATCAGTTCAAATACCAAGTCCTTTACTAATTTTTTATACCTTCTGATGTGAGTAAAATACTGATCATGCATATTTTAATTTAAACGTATCAAGCCAATGCATTACGCTAAATTATGGGGGTCCAATCTTATGTATTGGGTCCAAATAACCAAAGGAAGGTTCAGATATAGGCAGTATATGTTTGTCCAAATGCAAACTCTGGGCAGATCCTCCCCAAGACGACTAAGTCAGTGAAAGAAGGATGACTGTTAAGGAATGAAAATTTTGTCTTCTATATATGATGAATTGAAAGCAAATTCATGCCTCTTTTTTTTCTTTTGAAAATATAATACTCTGAACTAATAATCTATGTGGAGGGTGATATGAATTTGGTTGCAAAGGGGCTAACAAATTGCCTTTACCAACTGGCGTCTAAGCGATGTCTTCAATTGAAACTACAAACCACATTTCAATAGCTACTATTTTGGAAGACGGTAGAATAGGCAACTATTTCATATCCAAATCCTAATTGAAGTGGCTTGTATTTCAGTTGGTTAAGTGTATTCGTCCTTATACTCAAGGTCTCGTGTTCGATCTTCCTCCCGTAGTTTAATGTAAATTATCTTATTGTATGTCATGAAAAATATATATAAATTCTGATCCATTAATCCATTACAATTACTATACAAGTAACAAACTCATTTTTCATTCCATACATTTGTGATCGAGTCGCAAAGGCCCGCATCATTTGCTAATCATGTGATTTTGATTTTGTATTTCTGATAATTTTGCACATCTGTCTGCTGCAGCGCTGCTAAATAAAAGATAAATAAAACAGTTACTTTTCCATAGCACAAAAATTTAGTTGGTACAACAAATCGTTCAACATATGATTGTTTGGTTCATTTTTCCTATGTATTGGATGGTAAGGAAGGATATCTGTGAGATGTTGAATAGTGGCCAAATTAATGGCCAACTTGGCATCCACTCTGGGTTAGTAAACAAAGGAAAAGAAAAAAGGTGGACATCATTCCTTGTTTTGGGGAGAAAAGGAAAAGCAACAACACCTTTCATTATTGTGTTTGTTGTCATCAACACCCGTGAGTTTTAGCCTTTGTTGAAAGGCAGATGGAATTGGGTTGTTTCGGCTTTTTCTTTTGCAACTTGACAAGTGCTTGTGCTTTAGGAGAAAGAGAAGAAAGAGAGCCTTTTCTTTTTGGTATATAGGGAGAAGAGCTCATTGTTTTCGGATGTGGGGGGAGCGGCATATGAGAGAAACCAGGGAGAGCATTCGGCTCTCCCATTTGAATATGAGCTGCTCCTTCCCATCATTTGTAATAATCCCATTTTGTTAGTAATCACTCAATCAAAGATGTTGGTGCTACTTGTGTAGCTTTTGGGAGAGAAGGATTTTGATATGTGTTTCTTCTTCTCCATTTGTTTCTTAGTTTGAGTGAGAGCTATTGGTTGTATGTGGGATTTGGGTTTGAGAGTTAAAACTCTATTTGTAATCTCCTTTTGACATTAGTGGAATTTCCTCGCCGTCTCGGAACTGGATGTAGGCTTACGCCGAACCAGTATAAATCCTTGTGTTTTTTTGGATTATTTGTCTTGTCATATTTTGCCGTATTAGCTTTGGTTTCATATTTGAAGCTTCCGCACAACAAGTGGTATCAGAGCTCTGGGTTTCGACTTGGAGGCTTTGTACTAGTATGTCTATGAAATCTTCGAATGACGGTGAAATATGTTTTTTTGAAAAAATTCGACAGGAGGAATGACTTTGGTATTTGGTCAATTGGAGATGCTGGCTGCAAAATGTGGGCTGTTGTCGACGAGTTGAGTGGGAAGGAGAAAAGGTAGAAGCAGTTGAAAATTGAAAAGAAAATGTTGTTTTTTTCTTTCGGCATTTGTTTAGGCAGAAGGACATCATGATGACAAATGATGTTGTTGGCTGGAAGAAAAGGGAAAAAAGGCTAAGGCTAAGTTTTCTTTTCTTTGGCATTTTTTCAACGGCAGAAATTTTTGGTTGTTTTTTCCACTCCCATTGGTTGACTTTGGAGCAAGTTGCTGGAAACATTGGAGGAGTTTGTGAGGGCCAATTTGTTGAGTTCTGCAAGTTTGGATAGTGAGGCACCACACTATTTTGGATACACCACATGCACTGCAGAACATTTGTGTGGAACCCTCTTGTAGAAGGCAAGTTATATGCTTTCTAACTTTGGTCTATGGACATTTGGTTGGATTTGTTTGCCACTGCTATTTGGTCTGTTGGTCTCCATCATCTGCAATTAGTTTTCTTGAAGACTCCAGTTGAGGTATGGTTTTGGATCTCCTACTGATTATTTGAATTTGAAATTTTGGTTGTCCTGTTGGTGCTCATGTGATGATAGTAAACTTGAGTGAAGGACATATTTTCGTATGTGGTATGTGCGACTATGTTGCCAAATTTGTAATCAGTTTTGACTTGGAGAATATGCCATGCTATGTGAATGAGTTTATTGGTGCAGTTTCAGACCATGGTGTTTGTGAGCAGGTGGAGTTCGTTGTGTGTCCAACTTTGGTATGGTGTGCTTGATCTTTGGTTGGTGATATTGAAGAATTTCAGTTCTTCGTTTGAATCACCTTTTGTTTTGATCAAGGCACTTATGGTTTGCAAATTTGGAGAAGACGGTAGAGAAATGTTCACTTTTGTTGGCTTTGGTACAATTTGGCCAAGGTGGAGATTGTTGAATAGTGGCCAAATTAATGGCCAACTTGGCATCCACTCTGGGTTAGTAAACAAAGGAAAAGAAAAAAGGTGGACATCATTCCTTGTTTTGGGGAGAAAAGGAAAAGCAACAACACCTTTCATTATTGTGTTTGTTGTCATCAACACCCGTGAGTTTTAGCCTTTGTTGAAAGGCAGATGGAATTGGGTTGTTTCGGCTTTTTCTTTTGCAACTTGACAAGTGCTTGTGCTTTAGGAGAAAGAGAAGAAAGAGAGCCTTTTCTTTTTGGTATATAGGGAGAAGAGCTCATTGTTTTCGGATGTGGGGGGAGCGGCATATGAGAGAAACCAGGGAGAGCATTCGGCTCTCCCATTTGAATATGAGCTGCTCCTTCCCATCATTTGTAATAATCCCATTTTGTTAGTAATCACTCAATCAAAGATGTTGGTGCTACTTGTGTAGCTTTTGGGAGAGAAGGATTTTGATATGTGTTTCTTCTTCTCCATTTGTTTCTTAGTTTGAGTGAGAGCTATTGGTTGTATGTGGGATTTGGGTTTGAGAGTTAAAACTCTATTTGTAATCTCCTTTTGACATTAGTGGAATTTCCTCGCCGTCTCGGAACTGGATGTAGGCTTACGCCGAACCAGTATAAATCCTTGTGTTTTTTTGGATTATTTGTCTTGTCATATTTTGCCGTATTAGCTTTGGTTTCATATTTGAAGCTTCCGCACAACATGAGATACGACCATAGGAATGACCTGCAATATGCTTAGGGTTTTTCTTTTGTGCGATCAGTTTTGCTGCCCAAATATTTTATTCAAAAAATGGAATTTGGTCTGTAAATGGTAATTAAATTCACACCCAATGCCGGTTTGTGTCAATATCATCAACCAGAGGTTTCTCTTCATAGATGGAAAATCATGTAGCACGTATGATATTGAGATATCATGTCATTTTTTATGGTCAAGCATATATCATGATTTATTCCTCTTTGATCAATCAAAATCATATACCAAAACCATAACTTTGATATTGATTCGCATGGTTTTACTTTCGATAATTGGATCCATCTTCGATCATTTGAGTTGGAGCAATACCAAAATCATACTTTTCTTTATATCGCACTTGATCAATCAAAATCATATACTTCGATTTTGTCGAAATGAAAATGATGCATAAAAAGAATCAACCTCACCTAGTAAACTTGAATTCACACGACATACAAACATATTATATATAATAGTTAATCTAGGCGTATTTCAATCTTGCTGATAACTCGCGGATGTCGATGCCAATCAATACTTCTAGCCGCTAACAAATCAAGATGGTGAAGCCATAATTCATACCATTTGCCATTTTGGTACAAATCACAAGAGTGGCGGCTGATATTCATAGTATACTTTGACGCAGTCGGCAACGTCAACAACATGGAAGTAGAAATGAGAGAAAAGGTTACAGAGAGAGTGGAGTGTTGGAACTGGCAGTTGAGATTTGATGAGTTTCTAGGATGCGTTTGCTCTTTACATTTGAATCTGAGGGGCTCAGAACAGAGATTATTATGAACTTTTTACAAACTGCATTCACATGCGATAATATGTTACTAAACTAGCAATTTAACGGATACTGTGTGCATGTAAAGGATAAAATATGGAAGAGATAATTAGAAAATATGGAAGAAATAAATTATAGAAAAATATGGAATAAAGAGAAGTTAGAGAAAAAACCTGGAACAAATTTAATTTATTTTACCATTTTAAATATGCAAAATTAGTAATTTATGCCTATTATGTAAATGTTTATTGCAGCCAGTTAATACAATCGAAATAAAATTCCGAGTTAATGCATGCACATCCATTAAATTCAAAATCTGTTTAATTCCTTCATTAATTTTCTAATCTTTGTGATGCGAGTAAATTACTGATCAGTATGCATGTATATGTTAAACATATCAAGCCGAAGCTTTATGCTAAATTATCCGAGTCCAATCTGATTGACTTGGGTGCAAAGAACCAAACTAACCCAACAGGATCATTTCCGGATACTTTTGCTGAGGATCCTAGTGATCTCCTTTTGGTGAGAATCATCTTTGTTCATCATAAATTGTGTAATCAGTTTTTGTTAAATATTGTTTGTATTTAATTTTAAATAAAAATATTTAAAATGATTTCTGACCACACGATAGACGATGACCAGACACAATTCATGGATTTCCGAGATTCTCATAGAGAGGATCCAGCGAGGATCCGGATTCCAAACTAACAAAGAAAGATTCAGAAGCAGGAGGTTACAGAAAATATAAAATTATAATAATATCAAATGGAAGGCTGTCTATTTGTTTACACCGTACGTGGCTTCGGCGGAGGCTGAATTGGTCAGGTAGATTTTCAGGTATATTGCATTTTTTTCTTTGTCTATTTGCAAACACTGGCCATTCTCCCCAACACTGGTTTCGTTTGAAAACACTTTAAAAATTGACCAAAATCGTTTTCAGCTATTTTAAAATCATTTTCAAACTAGTGTTATGTCACTAAAAAAAAGCCTTTCTATAATGGACAAAAATTTAGTTAATATAACTAAAAAAATCAACAATTTTTTAATGCAACGATATATTTACATTTAAGGTTTGTCATGTGACGTGCAAATAATGATGGTGCATGTAGCATGCATGATATTGATATAGCATGCCACTTTTATGGTCAAGAGATATTTCTTTATGCAGATTAGGAATGTCTATTTCATTCCTAATCTGCGTTAAGAATGAGAGATTTCATATAAGAAACCGAAAGAAAGTTTTCAATTATCGTATGCTCTGAAGGAATGTTTCAACCAAAAGAAATTTTTTTTTTAGGGAATGCATGCTTTTTTGACAATTGGATCATATGAGAGGAATGCAAAAAGCTACAGCTTTCTTCTCATTCTTGCATATCTTCGTAGGTATCAGTTGATAGTTTCTAGGATTCTTAAAAGAAATCACGTACTGATCCGAAAAATTAAACACTTACAAGTTACAAGCAGTTTTTGTTATCTCAGCTTTAATCCAGTCTTTCCCGTGAGAATTAAGCATTTTGATACTGATTTTCATTTTGGATGAGAAAGAGTCCAAAAGGTGATCTCGAAATGCAATATCTGAAGAACAATATTCTGTACTTTTGAGACGTTGTTTCAATATTATTCTGAATATCGCAATTAAGACTGAAGAAGCTAATTAGCCGATACTGCCACATAGGGCTAACACATCAGCTATTTCTAAAGTCGGTTTTAGTGTCAGAGTCTATATAGGTTACTTCCTATGTTGTGGTATAAGTACTATTTTTGTCATTCATTTGTATAAATTGAAATTATTCTTGTAAAGACATTTCTTGCTCTTGAAGTAATACAGAAAATCAGTTCATTTCATTTCTTCATGTTCAACACTTTTCTTTCGTTCTTGCTAAGTATTGGAAAAGAACAACGCCAATTGGGCCTAAAACAATCAAACATATAAACCAGCAACTATTTGCCGATGTATGCATAATGACGCAGGCTAATTAAAATAGTTTTGAAAAAAAATTAACCATACTATTTGTTTTTAGTGAAGCAATTTGCCAATCTATAAGTTCTGAAGCAGAATGACACAGGCTAATTAAAATATTTTTGAAAAAAAATTAACCATATTATTTGGTTTAGTGAAGCTTCACTAAAAGCAAATGAGTTTTTCAAGTTTTATCCAAAATGTATTGCTTATTTATTGGTAATATGAATATACAAAGGCTTAATTTTGTACACTATTTTGTTCTAACAAATTCTTTGGCCATCTCAAAATAACGCTAGTGTCACCATCTTACACTCTATGACGTGCTACTTAATTAACGTTTTTGTTTTTAGAATTAGCATACGAAAACATTCCTTTTCTTACTAAACATATAATGATAAAAATTGGTGTAAATAAATTCGAGTATTTGATGTATTTGGTGGCCCCTTCTTTCCTTGGTTCTAGGTTGGTAGACCCGGCAAGGCCTTTTTAGGGATCACTCTCTTTTATTATGCTATACTCTTGTTATGGTTCCTTATTCTCAATAATATCGTATCTTTTATAAAAATAAGAATAAATAATAATAATAAAAAAGGTTTTTTAACCAAAATGGTCATTGGGATTTACATAACATATCACTTTGGTCCTTAAGATTGAAAATCACGGCGAGTTAGCCATCAAGAAAGATATCATTCTCTTCTTCTCATCGAGAAGTATAATTTTTGTTTTTGAATCACTTGATTTCGTTAAGTATTGAAGAAGTTATGAACGTTTAAAATTTACCTAGTTTTCGGGGAGTTTTTCAGTTTTCCCTCGGACCAGTCACCTTTCAAGCTATTTTCCGGCCATCTCCGGCAACCATTGGGCTTACAAATAGGTATAATCTTGCTCTACACTTTTCTATATTCATTTTGATATATTATGGGTCAAGTTTGGTTAAAAAACGATTGAGTTACGAAGCTTTGAAAATTGCCAAAACTTCCAGTCAAGAGTTCTGGGACACTTAACGGAGTTTTGAACGGAATGATCAAAATAATGGATGGTGAACAATCTCAGGGACCATTTTGGCTAAAAAGCCAAAAAAAAAAAAGTTAACAATAATGATAAAAATTGATTAAAGCATGTTGAATGTTCTTGTGCTGTCACAGGGCACTCAGATATGAATCAAGATTGATATCAAAGAATTTCATACAAAACCCTAGATTTCATGGACAAACTTCTACAAATCTAACTCAAAAGCTGCAAAAATACAAGTATATATAAACTGGGGATGAATGATGATATTAAATAACAAGAACTAATTTAATTCGATGGATGGAAAACATCTAAAATTTGGCTTGAAGATCGCTAATTACGGATTTGTCCACCTGAAAAGACTTGGCAAGAACATCCTCAGAAATAGCAGGATTGGATCCAAACACAACGTTAGCAATGGTGTTGACTCCAGGGTTTTGGCTGCTCAAAGAAGATAGAGAGATGGTAGTTCCAGAACCCAGGTTTTGCTGATAGTGAACTAGTCCAACAGGGAACACAAACACATCACCCTTCTTAAGGACCTTCGAGAAGAGCTTGTTCTCGGGGTTTGAGGTCACAAAACCAACATTGAGCTTGCCTTTCAAGACCGTCAGAATCTCGGTGGCGCGGGGATGGGTGTGGGGAGGGATAACACCCATTGGCGCGTAGTCGATGCGAGCTAGTGAGATGCCGAGGGTATTGAGTCCCGGAAGTTGAGCCACATGTTGAATAAGAAGAGTATCCAAGATAACTCTAATGATCCCAAGAAGAAGAAAATAGAACACACTCTTAAAGAAAGCTCACAAAACAAACTAATTAGCAAAGCTTTTCTTATTTAGCTCTAGGCTTTGTTTTTCCTTGGATGATTTACAATGCTTGAGAACTTGGGTATTTATAGCAAACCAAATGATTAAACTAAGATTATTTATTACCACACAAAACACATTAATTGCACCTAATAATTTTTATTCAACCATACCTAACATTGTCTAACTTTCCATGCCTAACTTTGACATTGATTTTCAACACTCCCCCT